ATGCATCATCATCAAGTGAGAACAGAAAAATAATTTAGATTAGGACCTTTCGTGAGACATCAAATATTGGAATAAACTACATGACAAGTCTGTTTTTCCTATAATGAGTTTTCCGTAACAGAATCCGAATAAGAGCCGAACCCCTATCCAACCTATTCATGAAAAACATCACGTTACAAATTAGATGCAGATCTCTCATCACATGGCCAGTTTCGCTAGAGGAAGGAATGGCGAAAACAATTGGGCAACTCTTAAACACGGTTTAAAAGATCTGTTAGCATATTCAAAAGAATAAGACTGAAAGTAAGAAATGGAGCTTTATTTACGTACTACGCAGCAACTATATACTGGCAATTAAAATTCATTAAATAAAGAATGGATACGGTGATTCAAAACACGAATTATATCTCCAACTTTATTAATTTCAGACGGATTTGGTCAGCTGGGAAGACGGGCAATATGGATGATGAATGTTGAATGAAGTCGCAATTCAAACTGACAGCAATGTATAACGCAAATATACATGTAAAAAGATATATAAAGATCGACGTATGTGCTCAATAAACCATAAAGATATACATATGAATTGTCTGTTGAGCATATACGTCAATCGATATTTAATTATTGTTTCTATAAAATTTTCTTGTAAAACGTATCCAAACATTTACTTATTTAATTATTTTTAACCTTATTCTTAAGAAAAACATTTGCCTTTTTGTTACACCGCTGTATCCACTTGTCAATTATACTTTATGGAAATTAGCAACGTACAGTACTTTAATTTACAGTATTTTAGATTTTTCTACAAGATACTTAGCTTAATCAGTTATTATACATTACAGTTATATATATTACATATAGATCGCAAGTAGTAATTAAATATTAGATTAGTACCGGCATAATCGTAAATTTTTCTGTGTATTTGAATATTTTCGGTTATATTTTACGACTTTTGTGTTCTGTAATACGCTTCTTGTCTAGTCTTGTGTTCAATTATAATAGCTCTATGACGGCTTTTCCTTTTCCGCTAGACTTATTACACCATCAGTCAGAAAAAGGACAAAATTTAGAAAATTATATGTTTATTTCCCTGAGTATGCATTTCGTTTGTTATTTCTGTGAATCGTTCCATAGTTTACGATTCTTCTGTAAAATGTTTTTTATTCTTATTATTTTAACGGTGCACTTATTTTACTTCATCATTCTATTTTATTATCTTTAATAGTTTTACAGTATACAATGTTACGATTTTAAATTTTATAGTTTTAACTGTGTACTTTATTATGTATATTGTTGCCTTACAACGTTACGTATCGAACCGTTGTATTTGCTCAAATACCTGTTAATCAATAATTATCATCCATATTGTATCTATCGTCGCAATTTCCTGTACTTCTCATAATCATTTATACGAGTGTCACATGGAGTTGAAAAGCATGAAAGTCCTAAATGCATACTAAGGGAAATAAATATATAATTTTCTAAAGTTTGTCCTCTTTCTGACTGATGATGTAATAAGTCTGGCGAAAAAGAAAAAGCCGTCATAGAGCTAGTATAATTGAACTTTTGTGTTCCTAAAAGTGCTATAATTATGTACTGTATTTATTTATTATTTTAGAAGCTATTTCGACTCCAATGGCATTATAATGAATATATAATAGTTATTGCCGTATTATAATTACGTTTAATTAATTAATTAATTTTGATATATCGGTGTCAAAGAATTTCAAGGATGACATTCTCTCGAAATCCTTTTATTGCTAAGTAAGCAAGCCAGTAGTAGTTTGTTTCATACGAAACGGAGTATGGTTTGCTTACTTAGCTGCATGATACCTAGCACCTTTTGTTTCCTTTCGGACAGATGCTTTGAAACAAACAAAGTCGTTCTCGAAATCCGTAAAATCGATTGCTACTAACGAAAGTACAATGAAAAATAAATAAATAATTAGTACAAACAACAATTCAATAGTTTCGATTTAAAATATCAAGTTTTTAAAACAAAAGTTGGTTTGTCATTTATATGCTTTTTCACTTTGGTTTGTTTTACTTATCTTTTTACCAATAGAAATTATATATATTGTATATAGCCTATATAAAATTTCATTATATTATATAATATTTCTATTCTAATGCCTTCTATGCGAAGAGATTGCAGAAATTGTTCCATGTTGTTTCGTATTGCAAAATAATTGGGTTTAGAACAGTTGATAAAGTATTTTAGATTCATACCGTATTATTTCTTTTAACGTGGAACTTTTAAATTCATTTATTTATTTATCACTACATACTGCGACATTCTAAAAGAATATATGAGTACTACCCTCCAATGCAGCAATATACATTTAAAAATTTTAAAGATACTATTATTGTTACTAAATTTAAAAACAAGAAAAATAAAATTCTTATATTTATAATGAAACAACTCATAAATTAATGCTTGATTAACATCCCGGATGATAAGTTTACCAACACAAATTCGAAATCCATTAGAAGTATGTATATGAAAACTTAATTCTTATATTGAAAACATATAAAACAATTTCAGACCAGAAAATCTATTTTTTGTGATTAAATTAACTTACATTTTGAAAGAAAAATTTGATAAACTTGAAATTAAAAAAAATTGACTAATTTTTCAATCTTTGTAATTCTTATAGAAGATTAGACTATTATTTTAGACAACTAGACGTTATTTATTTAGAATTATGAACAAAGTTCCTCCAAATTCGATTGCTTAAAAACACATCTACTTGCTCGAACTGCTCAATGCATGTTTTCAATTTATTATGACATATTTCCTTTTGCTATTGAAAAACTTACAATTTTTAAAATATTTCGTGAAAAATAGATGACCCGAAAGTCAATTAACCGAGATGCATATTTTATAATTAATAACGATATGGAACAGCTATGTGTTATCATTCGTGACACGTATCTGTTCCAAGCCAGCTTTACACCTTTAATCATTTTAAAATATATCTCGTTAACTGACTTTCGGGCCACTGTATTTATAACAACATATATAATACAAACCTTTCAATGCAATTCTCTTATTATATGAGATTATTTATTTTGTATCTCCGATACAAAACTGTAGATGATTTTAATTCCTTTACATTAATCTAGTTATAACTTTTTTTAATCTACTTATTTATACAACAGCGTTACAATGTGCAAAACTTCTTCCTTTGACGGTATACATTTGAGACTTGTCAAAGAAAGGAGAGGTTTGACAGCCTTTGATTATTAAAATTGTTGGAGTGCAGAAAAGTTGTCTGTTATCACAATACTACAAAAACTTAACTCCTAAATTACTAATAGAATTAGATTTATCTAAATATTGTAATGGAGAAGAGAATGCTCCGAATAACATTACTAGTAGATTGTCGCAATTAACTCTTACTTCGTTAAATAAAACTTTTATTTCTACACATTTATTTTCACATATTTTCGCTGGTGATTACATATTATGTCCTTACAAGCGAATAAGCTTCAGACGTTACTGCATATGGACCAAACGAAAGTGACGATTAGACTATTATTTTAGGGTAGCATAGTCGCAGCGTTTTATGTTTTTAATTTTTTGAGGAAATTGTCCATAATATTTTAATATTATGGACAATTTCCTCATGCGCTCATGTTTGTTACACTTCAAATATCACAATACCACCATATGAGAAAAATTAACATCACAAAATAAAAATTTTATTTTACAACGTAAGTCTAAAACAGAAATTAAGCCCTTTCCTTGTAAGTGACAGCTTAACATGTTACTTTTGCTTTCCAAATGCCAAGCCAACACCTGCATTAATTAGCAAGTAAAACTGGTAGCGAAATGGTTGCGATATTTTTAAATTTCCCAGAGTCACCTCTGTTATTATGAACTACTGATCTTGTTTGCTCTTATAATAAATTTATTATTAAAACTATTCATACTATTTTCTTCTTAATCTAAATGCTGTTGTTGTTAATAACCAAAGATATTTGAATTCACGATTTAGAATATTTATAGAAAGGATAATAATATTATTATGATTATCCTTTCTATAATTATTCTAAATCGCGATTTATTATTATACTTTCTATTCTAATTTAAAGATTTCACTGACGATAAAGAAAAGAAGATAGAGATTTTTGTCATTTTAATCTGTATAAATAGTTAGATCTACTTACCACGAATGAGGGAGTTATGATGTATCCAAATTACCAGATATGAAAATGAGTATGATATGAGTAACAAATTAAAAATCGATTGATCAAGTATCAGTTTTTCCGTTAAAATACGAATTGATGAAATATGAGATGTTTTAAATGTACTTTTTTATATTAAAATAGAGAGTGCAGATACGAAAAAAACGTCTCACTACAAAGGACATCTTAAACAGAAGATGGTAAATGTGTTAAATTCTCTCAATTAATAATAATATTTAAGAATTGGAAAATACGTTGTACTTTTAGATAAAAAGTATCATTGTTTAATAGAATTGTGCATAAATAATATGCAAACAAGTAAATAAATAATGCAGTGATCTTTACCGCCGCTGACATCCCTTGAATTTTTAAGATGTGCTCTTTCATTCGTAATGAAAAAAATTTCATTTAGGCTAAAAATAAGTGAGGAGATGAAATCACTCCATTTTCTATTTAGCGTAATTTCATGTAGGCCTACAGCTTAAATAATTTAGAAACTCTAACATCTCTAATTGGCGAAACTCAAGTAGAGTTTTAGAGATATAGTAAAGTAAATAATGGCAGTTTTGAAGAAATGTTCATTATAAACTCTTAAGAAGTAACAGAAATAAAGTTGTAATGTATATTTTTTAAGCATTTGTAGCCTCATACAAAATCTTGCATCTCCAAAGTGCACCCAAGCTAAGAACGAAATCTACGTTTTTCATAATTTATTCTTTGTATTATCAGTGATTATTTGTGTAGTTGTATTGAGTATTGATGTTTTAATCTTACGATAAGTAGGCTAACTTATAATTCTTTCATTTCAGGAAAATGGACAAGGACCGAAGCCGACGTTTTTCGCGAAGTGGCTCTAAATCTAGGAGTACCCAACAATAGAATAATATTGGAAGAAAATGCCACCAACACCGGAGAAAATATTCGTTTTTCTTACGACGTTCTTCATAAATTAGGGCATCAGGTATCTAGTATTATTTTAGTCCAGACACCTTTCATGGAACGTAGAACATACGCTACGTTCATGAAACAGTGGCCCGGACAACCTACAAGAATGAGAGTATTGGTAGCATCTCCACCCATACCTCTACACGAATATCCCAACGAAACGGTAGGAACCATGACAGAAATCATAGGTTTAACCGTCGGTTGTCTACAAAGGATTATCCTGTATCCAAAATACGGTTTTCAAACACCACAACTCGTACCCGACGACATTTTATCCGCATACGAGCAATTAGTACAAACGGGATTATATAACAATTTTATTCTGAAAGATGACGACAACGTGTAATTTAAATATGCGTTTAAAGATATTTTATGTAACACTGTTGAATATATTTACTGCCAAGCAGCGTTATTGCTTTGAATGTTGTAATTAATGAACGAATAAATACATATACACCGTTAAATAATCTCTTGTTAAAATTAAAACAAAAAAAATTCAGAACAAAATTTATTCCTTCTTTCTATTTTTAAAATTTCCTTACATACAAAAATACATATATCCAATTTTATATAATTATAAAAATATAAACAATTGCTGTATCATCAGGAGCACCCGCAGAATTTCGTCGAGAGACGAAAATTATGCTATTTATATCGATTAACCACCAACCAATTCACTAAAACCATGTTCTTTAAACAAGCGTGTTCCTACTTATCCATCTGTATGAAGGTAAATAATAAACACGTAAAAAAAAAAAAAAGCTATAATTCCAGCTACTCTCTAAAAGCTGAAGTTTTGAATATCCAGAACTTTACTAAAAACTTGTTTAAGACTAGGCAAGCGTTGTATTATAAATAATACAATGTCTTAAACAAGAACCAGGAGAATACTAGTCACGTTATGCATGAGACAACTATAGCAATTTCATGCGTAACGTGTAGGCGCAACGAGAGAATTCCTAGTTCCTGTTTAACAACTAGGCTGGATACTAGTCACGTTACACATAAAACAACTATAGTTATTTCATGCATAAAGTGACTATTAAAGTTAATATTTTCAACAGTTATAAAATATTACTGTATAAAATTGATATTGGAAAAAAGCAAAGAAAATTAAAAGAACAAGTCAAATTTCGGGAGGGACAATCGACTCCCAGTTCTTCTCTGTGCGTGCCCTCGTACAGCATACTCAACTATGACTTAAGCTATTTGCCTTTTTGATTTAATTTTATTGAATATCACATTTGTTCCGTTTCGTTTGTGTCGGGTTTCCTAGGAAAAAAATTACGTTTAAATGTCTTAAAAGTTAAAAGAAAAAATACACTAGAAATTAACTTACGACCACGGACAACTTAAGAATTTGAACTTCTTTCCATATTTTTCGCTTTCTTCGACCGTCTGCGGGAGGTGGGAATTTAACGTTTCGGGCAATAACAAGATTAAAACACCTCCAATTAATGAAAGAATTCCAAAGACGGTCAAAGGAAGAGCTCGTCCGTACGTCTCTGCCTGTATTAAAAATTAAGGGATAAAGAATTAGAAGTGTAACAGAATTAATATAATACACGAAATAATAGAAACATTATTTACCATATACAACAACTGAGGAGCTAAAATAAGTACAAAACCGGAAGTAAAAGAGCAGGTAGCCAGAGCCAAACTACGTAATACGGTGGGTACTAACTCGGATGCGAAAACATAAATGACAGCAAACGAGCCCGATATTCCCAACTTCCCGATATTCGATAAGGCAAACGTTGTCCACACGTAACCTGCGAGTATAAAAGTTTAGAAAAAAATTTCGATTTTTAAATTAAACCTTCGTGTAAAATGCGTACCGGATGGAATAAAACCGGTAGAGATGAGGGATGATCCGCCTAGTAGCATGGCAACGCACATGGTCCATCTCCTTCCTATTCTTTCCATAGTAAACCACGCTATTATTATTCCCGGTAGCTCTACTAGCGCAGAGATACAAAATGCCACGTAATCGTTAACCCCTAAAGACGTAGAACCCAGGGATAGTCCCGAATAATCAAAAGCGATGGCGATCCACACGAAATTAATTATAATGAATTTTTTCCTCAAATTAGGCGTTCTCACCAAGTCCAACAGAGACGGTTTCGGCTCTTTAGGGTTGTGTTCCACATTCACATCTTGCAGACTCTGTAAACACAAATTAAACATTTTTTAGAACACTGACGGGTTATATTTTCTATATTAAGCGTTCGATTTTACATATTTTGAAGCATATAATTATCCGCAATCACTCTCCGATATTATGCAGTAATTTACTAATATATCTTGTATATAAATCTCTAATAACATCAAACAATTTCAGGATATATAATTCGTTATTAGGTAAACCAGAAGTAGGAAACCTGTTCTAATCGTAAGGCTGCGTAAGTGTATGCACTCAACACGTGATCCACATTTTCAAAGATATTTAACTCAAAATTCTGATATAAAATGGTATAAATTTAATTTAGTTATCGTATCTAATGCGTGACCTTCCCTGTCGGAGATGGAGAAGCTGTGACCTTTTATGACTTCTATGCGGGCTCGTCAGAAGTCATAAAAGGTCGGGGGTTGTGTTTAAGAATAAATGACTAAGCACGTACGATTACGCTTATATTAAAGTTATTAATGGACTAGAAAATTAATAATTTTCTTGTCCATTAATAACATATTAATTTTCCACACATTTATCTACTATTTTGTGAATAAACTGCTATATAACTCATGATTAAAAATGAAGTGTTCCGTAAACTCGCCTGGAATATGATGTGTAATTATTGAAAATTTCCTATATTTGCACCCCATAATGGTTTGTCATAATTGTAACAATTGAAGCTATTATATTTCTGAGCCCATTTTTTAGTAATTATATTATCTTTATATTAATATTTTGACGACTTTAAATTTCTTTCAATAATAAACATCAAAATATATAAAAATATACTATATATTTTGCAGTTTCTTTTAATTAACTATCCGATTTACTCGTTGTCTGTTTTTAATACGTAATTAAATTTTAATTTTTAAATTCGTAAATCCGTTTCTAGATTTTAATATTTATTTATATAAGAGTTTGACCCTTCGAAGGTCCTTCCATTGGCTTCGAAGTAGAAACAGTTGTCATTCGCGTAGGCCTATTTAAGTAATAAATTTAAATGTTAATTTATAAATGTCGAAATTTTCCTTCGCAGAAACAAAACTGAATAATTAAATTTGCAAATTATTCATTTAGAGCTTGCTTTTTGTAATTTTAGAGTATCTGCCACTATAAAAAATTTAGTTTAAGCACTTAAGAAGTTGGCTACAGAATCCGTAAAGATGCATTAAAAATATGGGGAAATGCGGACAAGATCTAATAAAACAATCGAGGGAACAAAGTGAATTTATCGAATGCTAAAACTCGCCATCGACAAGCTGAACGAAATTCTCAATAATTGAATTCCTCGGTCGACAATTGATGGACTTGTAAGCCTTCCAGGAGTAGTTGTGAGGTCTTGGCGATGATATCTATAGAATGCGAAATTTTAATAACTTCGTCCAATATCACTGCAGAACTGTTTTACTTTAAGATAATTTATCGCCGAATTGTTTTACCTATCTTATCAATTTGCCAGTAAATTAACAATATCTTATTGTTTCTTATATTTATATTTGAATTGCGATAAAGAATGCGGCGAATATAATCTATCCATCAAACGTCTTCTTAGAGAATAACGCATTTTTCTGTCAATCTGGCATTACTCTTTCATTTTAAGTAACTCGAACTGACAATAAACGTAACATAAGCGTAATAAGCGTAACATAAGCGTAATAAGCGTAACATAAACTTTACGTAACACCCAGCTGCTAGAATTTCGAACTGTCAAGGTTCGATATTACGTAAATTTAAAGAGCGTCGTCCTAAGATAAATTTATAACGGACAAGTAAGGTATTATTAGTGATAATTAATTTAATTTATTACTTAAAAGCTATAAATATGTTCAGGAATACGAGAATTTCTTATCATTTTCAAGACTAATAAAATAAATCTTAATCTTATTCTTTTATCATTTAAAGATAACGAATATTTCTTGTCTGAAACGTAATATCAAGTTCTATAATTAAATCGGACAATCTTCTGTAGAAATCTTGAATTTCTACAGAAGATTGGCCTTGGGGGTCGCGAAGCCTTAAACGGGGGTCGCGGGTAAAAGAAAAAGACAAGTGTTTGTAGGTCCTACACTACATTAAAAAAATTACAATTTCAGCCCACACCACCCCAGAAAAGCATAGCCAAAAAAGTGTTGAGCTGATTTGCAAAAAGAAATAAAAAGTAAAAAAGTAGAAGCTGAAAATTCTGATCGTAAAAAAAATAAAATAAAAGGTAAACAGCTCCCTGTGCCCAATGTTATAATTAAAGGAAGTTTGATACTTTATGTGTGTTAAATTATTGTCGATTCTTCTGAAATTTTCATTTTAATCAACAATAATTTGTCTCAACAGAAAGAAAATTAAATACATAGTTTTTAAAATCACTGATATAGTTTTAATATGGCCCTAGGGGGGTCGCCAGAATTTTTTAACTTGTAAAGTGGTCGCGTATTCAAGAAGGCTGAAAAACACTGATTTACAAAATTGCGCCCTTAAGAAGAAAAAAAAAAAAAATAGAACGTTTGCTATTTTATACTGTGTTTATATGATGAGTATTTAAAATTCCGTGTTATATTTTAGAGCATTTTAAACTCGTCCACAAGTTATATTCATTCTGTATACTGTACCGTAGACCACTGCAGAAACGCAATCACAATAAGGAGTGAGCTATGCCGATTGCAGATTATTCGTGTGAAAATTGTTATCTATAGAAGAAAATTAATATAAAGTTTGACAAGCATTAAATTATCCTTCAGGAATAGGACTAGATATATTGAAAGCATCTCCCTGTACGGAACAGAAATGAACATTGTAAGTATTCATTTTTTCAACGTCGAAAGTGGAAAATTTGTTAAACATTTCCTAGAAATCAATAGAAAAGATAACGAGTAATTCCCGAACTTTTAACAGTTATTAAACATAAATTTCAATATAGGAACATTGAAATTTGTGGTTAGTAAAGTGTTAATCGCGCAACTTTTGAAAATACCCTACTCAACGATACCATTTGTTAATATTTAATATCATAAGTCATTTATTAGGTTTTTAAAATTTAAAAGTATGCAATTCGATTTACTGATACGCCAATCTTTAATTTTAGACTTAACAAACGGCGAAAGGGACCTTAACTATTACACGGTGCTCGACATAAATATAGACACCTTTACAAAATGAGCGTTTCAAGAAGACTAGGCACATTAAACCGCAGATGACTAATGGCTGCAGCACTAAATGCCCTCAAACCATCACACTACTAACTTTGACCATCCGGATGAATAGAATGGATATTGGCAAGATTTAAGAAAATTCTCCATGTTTCTAAGCGTAACTTTGTGGAGGTAATCTGATTTGGGGGCATTTAGCTCTGCAGGAAAATTTCTTTAAGCTTCTGTTTCATCAAGAATGAACGGCTCAGATTATTAATTGGCTCTTGTCGATAACTTCCTGCCATTTCTTCAATGACACCAGTACAAGATAATGTCAGCTTCTATTTTAGTATCCTCCAGTGGTAATAACGATCTTGAAGATGGGAATTGGCCAGATGCTCTCAGACCCCAACTCCATGAAAAACTTGGGAATTCTCGCGAGAAAAGTATACGCGGATAACCATACTTTTACATCAGTCGAACGGCTGAAAATGCGATTCTGTAGGCCTAAGATGGATGTGAAGACCTAAAAAATCTTTTTCGGAGGATGTCCAACAAAATAAAAACCAATTATCAACACTGACGTTTCGTGACTTTTGTGTTCTTTTTTTCTAATGTTGAAAATACGCATTGTAAAAAACAATTTATGATTATAATAAGTGAACAATTTGATATTTTTTTGTGATACTTACATAACTTATTTATCATTTTAGTTGGGTTATTGACAATTAGTTATCGGCGTTTTAATATTCCTAGTTTGTCTGTAATGCCATTTTGCAAAGGTGTGTATATTTAGGTCGAGCACTAACACAGTCCTCGACATGCATGCATAACAGTACTACTTTCCTATTGTAATACATAGTAGGAAAGGAGAAAATTTCTTCACCATTAAAGTGAATAAGCAGTTCTGAAATTTATTCCACGTAGTTTATAGTTTTTTGTCACTGTTTATTTAAAGTTAACGCAATTTAAATACCTGTCGACTAATAATTTCACATGCTCTAACGATTGGAGGAATTTTTAATTTACATAAAATATTAATAACATTTTAAATTTCGTCCTTTTTTTGATCCATTTCGAGTATCTTTCATCCATTGTTAATCGATTGTTAATTATTTACAAAAATGACTGCATCGAACACCGCTTATTTGTATAAAAAATATTTAGTTTACAGTTTATATTTTTATTGTGAAAGTTTATTGATTTAATTTAATAATATAAACCCATTCGTAGTATTATTATGATTCGTAGTATTATTATGATTCTAACATGCTTCCGTAGGTAGTAAATCTACACTTCTAGATATCGCGTTACGCTTCAAACCCTGCCAACTCATAGCCTATATGATAAATTATATTGCTCGTATATTATTTAAACGTTAAAAAAATATGATTTAGTATAGAAATAGTATCGAATTCACGTAGTAGAGATGATAATTACCGCCAAGTTTTGCAGATAATCTTCCGGAAGTGTCTTTCCATTGAATTTCGCAATTTTCTGAATGACACACTCTGCTTTCTCCAAATGATTGTGGCTTAGATACCATCTGGGAGATTCCGTTACGAACCTAAAAATTCCAGAAACATAAAATGTTATATAAATATAATTTGAATCGCAGGATTTATTCTAGAATTTCGTATATAGGCTTATATTCAATTCGAAGTCATTTAAATCGCAATATGTTCGATATGTTTGTGCTCAATTTCAATGATCTTTGCACCGCAAAAGAGAATTGACTAGCCGCATATTCACCAAAATCTTAGATCCTTTATAGAGATATCTCTAGAACAGAACGTACCGAACCAACTCAACAACTGAAGATCTCCAGTCACCAGATTTTAAACTTGGTATCTTTTGTGTTAACTTGCGTGTTAAAATGTGTTATATAACAACGAATCACTCAAAACATTTATGTAAAATAGTAAAATAAGGGATTTAAAAAAACACCGAGTTTGACACAGATTCTAGTATTTTTGATGGAGAGATTTATGCAAAACTTTTCTATTAATCATCGTTTAATATGCTTCAAGCGTTATTGAGTTACCAGTTATCTGCCTTTGGTTCGACTGACGTTGAACACGATATGTCAATTATACTGATCTTATCCGGACAAATTCTGATTTTTCTGTACGGGATCGATTACTTTGCATATCTACTGTAACGTGTTACGCAACTCTTCCATCATTAAAGCGTATTATATATTAATGACTGGTACTCCCGCGGTTCCGAACAGTTAAAAGTACATTTAATTTCTGGTTATTTTAATTGTTTGGTGGTTGTTTCCACCGATAGAAAATGTTTAAAACGCGCTTCCATTCCTAAGATAAATCATTTTCTGTCATAAATTTGCAAATTGTCGGAGGAAATGAAGGAATGTTCGAAGTTTTAAACGTCAGTAGCTTAATTAGTTGTCTGGGAAAAATCCTACAGAATGTTGTCGAGTCGGTGATTATCTCGCTATCGATCCGTCGCCTTTGTCCACTTTGTTTACCAACTCTCCCTTCTGATATCGATAAACGGGGGAAGAAGATTTTGGCGTTGGAGTGAAAAAATTAAATACAAGTTTTACGCGCGCAATTTTGATTTACGTGTCGTTACGTAAATGTCGCCGAGTTCGATAGAACTTTTACTACGGAGCTAATGAAAGACCGAGGTCGAATTGTTTATGTTCTCTACATTGCCAAGTAGTAACATGCCAAGTCATCCTCGCAGGAGTGACCTTGTTAAAATTCGACGATCTCAGATTTTGCCCGTTGCCGGCCAAAAATTTGACGTATTCCCTTCGTAAACAACACTATCTATTGCAACGTCAAGAATACCAAGGCAACTGCCACTCGACTTCGAGCCTCCTACAGTTTAAATTAAAATAATAATTTTTTGCGTAACGTTTCCCGTTTATTCCGTAGGATATATTGCTTATGTGAAGCATCGTTCCGTGTGAAAACTTGTAAAGGAAATTCAGGGACTTACCACCAGTAGACTAGAAGAATAGCGAAAGGTAGTGACGTGGCCAGGGCCAGGTAAACCCAATTTCTAATTAAGTAAGCGATGCCCGCCAGAAGCATCATGGAAAAAGAGAAGAAGATGCAATATAACATGCCGCAACGAGCCCGTCTTTCGGGGATCATCAATTCTATGGCTGAAAATAAACGATTTTAGTGATTTACAACATTTTATTTAGTATTAAAAATACACACCTTACCCATAATAAATGATATTCTATAAAGAGAAGGAAATCCGAGGCCCAAAAGAGCCCTGCATCCGACGTAGAAGGAATAGTTTGGAGAAAATACAGATATAAAACTGATAGCAAAATCAACCAAAATGATGATGAGTAACGTCGGTTTTCTACCAAATCTAAAAGAAAAGAGGGAATTGTTATAAGGCTGCAATGCAAGGGGGTAGTTTGGAGGCTGCAAAATGCGTCTTGCAACCTTTGGCCAAAACGTATGGAAACTAGCAGCGTCGAGAAATATACAGTACTTATTTACTCCTTTTATTATAATTATGCGGTAAAAGACATTGAAAAACGCTTCGGAACCAACCTATCACCCACGTATCCGTAAATAGCATTTCCAAATAAGCTTCCCGCGTAGAACACAGACATGGCTAAAGAAGTCATCCAGCTCCTGTCGCAGACTACGTCCATCTGAAATATTTTGAAATATTATATTTTAAAATAGTTTACTACACAAAAGTTCTATATAAAACATAGATTCACGGGATTGGAACTTCTAATTTCTTCTTTTCTATTATACTTCGGAATTACGTTTCGCTACAAATAAATCTTTCGTTTAATAAGCGAAACATAAGTCCGAAGTTACGTTTTGCTTGGTGGTTACTCGATTGTTAGAAGAGAAACGCCGTTAACAGCAATCTTCATCGGTAAACAAACACTCTTAAGAATTGTTTCGCAAACCAAAACAATTTAACTAATGGTGTGACATTCGATATTTTGTCCAAATTCATCGAAGAATATTATGCGAAATCGCCAAAGTCAATCAAGAAAACAATCGCCGTTATTCGCGAATAATGATTGTTAATTCGGAGCCAATTCTTGGGGCAGACCATAAATTACGTAACGTAGATACGGATGGGTGGGGATGGGGTAATCGTTACGTAATACTAGGATCTAAACCCTTGGGTTAATAGAACGATTCATTTTTGTTTCTGAAGCGCTGCGTAGCGAACCGTACTGGTTATGTCACTGCTTAGTACGTTACTCACGTAATTAATAAAATAATGTAACGCTTGGTACTCCTTGCGCGAACGGTGTTCGACAGAAATATAGACACCTTTGCAAAATGCGCGTTATAAGAAGACTATGCATATTAAACCGCCGGTGTAAGTATCATTAAAAAATATCAACTTGCTTGCTTATTTAAATATAAAAAATCATATATTATTGTTTTTAACAGTTACACAAATATAGACACCCCGAGTCTATTTACCTGTTAGGTCAAAAAGGACACGAAAAAGTCACGAAACGTCAGTGTTGATAATTGGTTTTTATTTTGTTGGACATCCTCCGAAAAAGATTTTTTAGGTCTTCACATCCATCTTAGGCCTACAGAATCGCATTTTCAGCTGTTCGACTGATGTAAAAGTATGGTTATCCGCGTATACTTTTCTCGCGATAATTTCCAAGTTTTTCATGGAGTTGGGATCTGGGAGCATCTGGCCAATCCCCATCATCAAGATCGTTATTACCACTGGAGGATACTAAAATAGAACATGGCATTATCTTGTACTGGTATTGTTGAAGAAATGGCAGGAAGTTATCGACAAGAGCCAATTAATAATCTGAGCCGTTCATTCTTGATGAAACAGAAGCTTAAAGAAATTTTCCTGCAGAGCTAAATGCCCTCAAATCAGATTACCTCCACAAAGTTACGCTTAGAAACACGGGAAATTTTCTTAAATCCTACCAGTATCCATTCTATTCATCCGGACGGTCAAAGTTAGTAGTGTGATGATTTGGGGGACAGAAGTAGAGGAGGTAGTCCAACAGAATATTTCAAGTAACAAATAAAAACAAACGCCTAACCAATTAATAATAATAGTAATGTTTCATAACTTTTATGTCTTTTTTCAACGTTGAAAATAAACATTGTGAAATAACCAATTATTAAAATAAGCAAACAATTTGATATTTATTTTGTGATATTTATATAAATTGTTCATCGTTTTATTTCTTATCGACTCAAGTAAAATGATTGATTGTACGGCGCATTTTGCAAAGGTGTCTGTATTTATTTGAAGCCCTTAGCGCAATTACGGGGTTACATATGCGTTATGTAATTTTCTACGTGCGACGAAACATTACGTAATTTATGGAGATCCCTTTCCAAATATGTTTTGTCGCAAAAATTCTTCAATACTATCGGTAACTGCAACATGTAGACCCTAAACGCGTTTCTTTATTGCCATCGAATATTACTCTTTTTTTTTTAACTCTCCGTTCTGCAGGTGTAAGAGGGCCATTTTAATCATCCCCATCATAGATTCCGCTAGGCCCACAATGGGAGCGGCTAGGGACGGGTCAACATATCTGGGGACTAGTGTCCGTCCCCAGATATGTCGACCCGGATTCGGATTCTCGCCAGGATTCGATCCCCCGGATAGTGGTAAAATATCAATTCATGTGCCTTTATGCCCTTATTTACTGTATAAAATATAAATGTCTACTAGGACAGAGCTTAGTAATAGGACTTAGTAATTACTAAGCTCTGTCCTATTAGACATTTGTATAACAAACTGGTAAAATATCACTTTACTCCATTGGCGTAACGCTGATTTCTTCTATGCGAGACCACCACGTAACAATTTCCAGAAACCTTAACTTCGTATTGAATTTTTGACGCCCGATAACGTGTCACCATAGACTAAACGCCTTTATTATTTTATCGATTATCTTTGGTTTCACTCAAAGGGCTCGTCACGAGATATTTAATGCTCCCGGTACATACTACAGAGGGAGGAAGACGTTGTTATTGTCACATCTTCCCCGAGTGGCACAACACTTCTTCCGCCTACGAGCTCGTATCCTCCAATACACCTGGTAAAGAAATATTGGCGTGACGAAATTAAACAGACTTTGTCCGCCTTTATACCTCACACCAAGGCTATTTAGCGCATAATAATAATTTATACCCTTGTGTAATTATAACTTTAGTTTCTCTTATTTCATTTCTGTCAGAAATAGGTTTTTATCGAAATATTCTAGAATGCGAGTCGCGTCACGCGCCACCTAAAGGAATTCTAGAACTCGGTCAATGCGTTTAAAGTGCGCGCTCTATTGATCTAGATTCGCGTTATGCTGCGGGAAGCAAAACTGGAAAAACTTTGCACATGTTTTTGAATTAAAAAAGCACGTGTGAACGACAAATGAAACAATTAATTAAAGATCTCGCACGCGACGAGATTCCAGAATTTTTTTTTCGTAGAAACCGGTTGCCACGCAGTTCGACCACGAGACAGTTTAATCCGGGTTAAGGTCGAAGACGACGCGTTACCTGGTGCACTTTACGCGTCTCGAAACGGATCGATTCGAACCGCGCGGGCGGACGCACGTCGCCCATTAATTGGGCCTGAGAGCGACGCGACGCGAAGCGCCGATCGATACCTACGTTTATTTTGCCACACCGAAATAGCGTAAGTATCGCTTGTTTGGTAGAAACGTGGTGTTCGGAAGGTGAGAGCTATACTCACCTGCGTCACTAGCGTTTCGTGATAGAGCGAACGGTCGTAGTTCCAACCGTATCGACAATCGGTTCGAGGCCATTCCGCATCGGCCCCCGTCACCCCCCTCTCCAGTAAAGCAGTGTAGTTGACGTCGTACATCTGACATCGACTGTAGACCAGTTGCCCGTCCCTAATTTCGGTGGGAAGACTTAGATTCTTGATCGTTTCCGGCGAGGAAATCGCCTCTTCCAGTTGGGGCACGCGACACCAGTGGTCGGGGGTGGCCGAGAGAAAGACCACGTTGAAGAGGACCAGGACGCTCATGATGGAGCAAGGCACCGACAGAAGATAGAAGACCAGTTTCTGGTACCTCTGTCGGTGGCCCATGTCGCCTAGGATGTCGTCGAAATCCATGGCGACTCTTTCTCTCCCGACGATCCGATCCTTCTGCCTACCCGAAACGTGACTTTTCTTCTTTTAGAGCGCGGCGCCACCTATCCGCGATCGAACGCGCGCCGATACGACGCCGCGCCGCGCTGGAAGAAAGCGTGTCGACTTAATTAATGCGAAGGAAACTTGAAGAAAAACTAACGTTTTCCCTCTCTTCGAGGAAAATTCGACGCGTTAACACAATAATAATAATAATACTAATAATAATAACGAAACTGTTATTGTAAATCGCATTTATTTATAAAAAGAATTATTTTTAAATATCCGTTGGAAGTGGTACAGTGTGTAATTCCTGATGTTAAATGAAAATATGTCACCGGTAAATTAAATTTTTGAAATGTTTCGACCCAATTATAAATCTCGATATTTTTCTCGGCAGCAACCAGCCAAAGATAATAAAGGATAGATTTTGGGAATATTCCAAATTATGTCACAGTTTAAAATTACCGAATTTAAAAAAAGAGGACGATTTTATTGGTCAAAAATCGGACTCGCTCTTAAAATTTGCCCAATAAACGCGTTTTCATGATGACGTAACGATTCAACTTCCGGTCTCACGCTTTACGAAACTTCCTTCGTCTGCGGAATACGTTTAAACGCATTTATAGCCAAATTCGATGTTGTAGTAATTAAATTTTGCGATAAGAAAAACCGCCAATTGATATTATTTATTAATCCAACGGAAGAAATTCGAAATATCAAGTATACACATCCTATTTTGATTTGTTCGAGAGATCGGATTGCCTAGTGTGCCATTTTCGCCATGTTTTATCGGCACTTTCAAACGAAATTTACGGTTCATCAGACTTTTTCCCATTTAAATTTCCCGCTAATGTACCCTTATTTTGAATTACTTCCGTAAAACAATGCTACTAAAACCAAAAAATCTCTATGGTCAAAGAAAATCGGACGAGTCTCGAATTCTGCCTCCTTGCGTCATAAAAAATATCTTAATACTTGATACTTCGTCTTTTAATTATTATCGTAACCCGTTATTTCTGTAAATTGTGCCATTTACGGTATCTAATTATTGTCTTCTTTTGAGGCTTATACTGTAATTGCAATTTTAACACCGAAACTCGGTAGGAGTTTAACACACAACGCACTAACTTTTGACGCACGTAATCTCCGCATTTCTGACGTCTTTGTGCACCAGAAGTATCGTATGGAGACGGATTCCGAACGTGTCCAATTTAAGTGCAAAGTAACGAAATAAAACGTAATTAAATAAAATGAAAAGACGACAAAACAGAGATTAAAACGAATTACTCAAAAAATTTATTTTGTACAGAAAAATTACAGAGGTCGACTTTACTACTACTAATTGACGAAGCGAAACGGACGATGGGACCTCGCGACTCGTTAAGACCCTTTCGGACACTTCCGTTTCAGGTTTCGGCCACTTTCTGTTGTTTGTCGTCACCGGGTTTGTCTTTTTCGTCTAGACTTTGGTTCCATCCCCTCAGTCCCTTGGGCAGGACAGTGTCCTCGTCCAGAGATCCCGTCCCTTCCACGAACTCTTCGTAGGTCGACTTCTCCGGGAAGGGTCTCTTGCCCAGCAATTCGATCATGTCCTGTCGACTCAGAATCTCCTTCTCTAACAGCCTCAACGCCACCTGAAAAAGTATAAGTGAACTTCGATGTCAAATTTCCCACAGGGAGCGTAGATTTTGGCGAAATCCGGGTCTTACCTTCTCCACGTTGTCCTTGTGTTTGGTCAGAAGTTCAACCGTGTGATCGTAGGCCGACTGGACGAGTTTTCTGACTTCCGCGTCGATGATCTGAGCCGTCTCTTCGCTGTAAGGCTTGTCTAGTACCACATCACCCGGTTGGGGGAGATCGAAGGACAGATGCCCCACTTTTTCGCTCATTCCGAAATGCACCACCTGAAAAAGGAGTAAATTTTCATTCTTCCCGAAACTCCAATACTTAAGTGTAGCGCCGAAGAACAGAAGAGAGAGATGTTTTGACGGCTTCAAATTTTCTATTGTTTCAACGTCAAAAATTTGGTGAGTTGAAACGCGACAGTTATTTTATCGATCGACTAAATACGTGCACCAATAATTGTCGAGTGAAAATTTTTTGGTCACGCGTGGCAAAAAACGTTAGAAATATTGAAAATAACGGGTTCCTTGCACCTTTTTGACAAATTTTTACTTGAAAACCGAAACTGCTATTTGAAACATTTTTGGTAATTTAATATAATTGTAAAAATTGTTTTAATTGTCTCCGTCCTCGTTCCAGGGAGGTTTGAGTTTCAGTTTGTTTTAAGTTATGGCAACGCAACACTTGGGCGATCTGCCTAAGGAGGATGCCTTCCGGGAGGTCTTTTTAAGGGAAACTGGTCCCTATTTAGGCATTACAGACGTGGAGAAAACCTGGAAAACTCCACGTGGCCAGCCCGTCCGAGCAAGACGCGAACCCGAACTCCTAGTGTTCAGAAAACGAAGACCGCTTGGCCACTGGTGGACCTCGTTCAAAGGGTTGTGAATCGGTGTTTAAAATTCCATCCTCAACGGGACTGGGACAGAGAATCTTATTTAAAAAAACACCTAACGCGCGTACGACGGGTTTAACGAATGCAACATTTTCAAAATATTATTTTTTTTTACCAAACACCAATTGAATTTGTTGCAATACATAACACTAAATAGAGTAATATCTCGGTTTTTGTTGATTTCGGTTATCGTCGATTGCCTCAGATATCGTTGGCGTGCTCACGACCTCGCTGTTAATTTTGCGATACCACGCGTTTTCCTGCTCAGTGAGGCAATGTTTCTTGTGTAAGTATTATCCCACGTATCTAGCCAAATAAGGCATATTCAAAATATCAGCGTACAGTCAGCATCTCTGTTCAAAATCTAAGATAACTTCCGGTTGCTGCCAGCCTGCTTATAGCAAACTGCAAGTCTTTTTTGGTGCTCCATACACCAATAAACAAGATGGCAGCCACCACGAGTCTCGTGTTTTATTTTGCGTTGACAATTTTGAATTTAATTTATTTGTTGATGAATAAATCCTGAATAAATTAATACTCGGTTAGTACATTAATAGAATATTTTAACATACTACAGTAGAGCATCGATTATCCGACTCAATTGGGGACTGGGGTTGGTCGGATAATTGAAAAGTATGAAAAAAATCCATTATTAGTGTAGTATATTGTTATATCCCATATAATTAGTATATCGCTATTAATCTACTTCGCGTTGAATTTTCCTCCATGATAAGCCTATCAAATTTTAAAATAATAATAATCGTCGCTATTGTATCGTTAAAAATTAGAAAATTAAGCCTCGTTTAAATACTGGCTCCCTTTCATCGTCGATCCAGTGTTGCCAGCTAAAACACGTAAAAATATTATTAAAGTAGCCAAGACATAGCCAAACATTGTAGCGCCACAACACTAGCGGACACTTGAATTTGCCGACTAGAACGCGGTCGGTTAACCGAGGTGACGGTTAATCGGGGGGTCGGATAATCGATGCTCTACTGTATTACATTTACGTAAGACATCACAATTTTTTTACTTGTTAAAGTGTAATCTTGCGATTTATTTATTAAATTATTTAAAACTCCTATTAAAATTGAAAAAATCTTTATCCCTATTTCTGTTTTCGAAATATTCATTTTTAATTAAGCTATTCTCTTTAAATAAGTTCAAAAATAAATTTAACGTAACGTGGAAGTTCACATCATTCGCCATTTTTATTGTTTTTCTCTCCCGAAATTCCCGGCAGTCAGCGTGTGTGTTCTCTAGAACAGTGTTCCGCAACCGTGTGCTGTCACAAAGGTGAAGGTGTGACGTAAACTTTTACATATTCTATTAATTTCAAGTTTTATTTATAAATTTTTATCATAGTTGATGTGTCTTTTATGCTTGCATTTCATTCTCTGCCGCAGCACTGATGAAATAAGACGATGTTTGTTTATTCTTTATTACAAGCCGCACATTTTTTATGTATTCGAAGAAATTAAATGTAAAATAAATTTACTCACAGGTGTTGGTCTGTTTAGTAATAATAATAATAATAGGTTAGTGGCATTATGTAATTCTATTAATAGTATCATATCACATGTTTTTGAGGAAAATATTTTGGTGAGCCACAAGAGAAAAAAGGTTGCGGAACACTGCTCTAGAAAATGCCAGTGGTTGCGTCACTTCCAGCAGCATCTCACTGGATTGATGCTGAGATTTTAAATAGCCCAATTCCATTGCTTTCCTTTCCTTTTAGCTCCATCTTGGGAAATGCCATGTTAAATGTTCATTTATTCTTTACATCAGTCTTTTATATTTATTTTATATTAATTTCTTATTGTTTTTAGTATTAAACACTAAATTTATTCTCTATAAAATGTGTTTTGGTATGTATTTTGGAGTGTCTAGAACAAATTAATTGGATTTACATTGATTCATTTGGAAATAATTGCCTCAGATTTTGTCGATTGTTTTCAGATGGATTAGCAACAAAAACCAAAATATCACTATATTTGATTAAACTAGCAGTTTTATGACAAATGTTATCAGCTGAAACATTAACAACTTTATATTAATTTCTTGTTTTTAGTATTAAACACTAAATTTATTCTCTATAAAATGTGCTTTGGTATGTATTTTGGAGTGTCTAGAACGAATTAATTGGATTTACATTGATTCATATGGAAATAATTGCCTTGGTTTTTGTCCGTTTTGGATTTCACCAATTGTTTTTGGACGAATTATCCACGAAAACCGAGGTATCACTGTATTTGTTTCGTAACTCAGTATACGTATAGCCATCATCTATGGCATAAATTATTTTATTCTCTGCGACAAATGGATACTATTCAACTAAACTAAACTAAAGGAAACTAGAGTAATAAATGTTAATTTTAAAAGTTTTTTGTCTTCTCTAAAACTTCTCTAAAAATCTACATTTTCCAGCGCTAATTTTTAGAACCCAAGAAGAAACCCAAAAGAAGGTATGATGGAAGTAAGCAAGACAACTGTATGACACCAGTTCCTTTTTCAGAAATTTTTAAAAATTTTAATTGAATGTTTTGTGTTTTTTAAAAGGACTTTTTGTAAACTTTATGGCGACAAGTAGCCTAAAAAGGAAGGTCAGTCGCCGAAAATGTTTTAGTCTTGGAACACAAGTAATAAATGGTGATCCTTTTTGGACAGTTTTGTCTTCAATTTTATTTTATTTAAAAGTTTTTATTATTCGTCGACCTCGTGGAAATTTTAACGACCATCTAATTATGTAATTTTCCTCTTACTTTAAGAAAAAATCAAGGTAAACGAAAAAATGTTTATGCAACTTTTTTGTTCCATTAATTACCCGTTAGTTTCTTAACAACATTTAAGTGAATAAATACTTTGCAGATAATGAAAAAACAAAATACAAAATTGTCGTTTGATATGGTAAAAAATGATGGAATAAAAGTGTCTCCAATCTAATTCTTTGTAAGTGAAATTTAAAATGCCACTCCCTACTTCTAATTTATTAGGTAAATTTTTAACATAACTTGAACCAATCTGCTTTGCAAATTTTCTTTAAACAAATGCCATTTTGTTTTGAAATAATCAAGTGATGTAATTCTGTTTTATTAATTATAAAATTGATGCATTTCTGCATCATTTGATAATTACAAACTACCATAATTACCTGAGAGTAAGCACTCTGAGTAACCTTCTTCAGGTCGTCTTGGGCACCGGTGGTAATTTTCTGAAAAAAGATCTGCTCGGACACTCTGCCTCCCAGCGTCATGCACATGCGGTCAAAAAGCTAAGAAAACACATTTCTTATTAAAGAAACTTAATCTAAATGTGTTGATAAATTACAGTAACAACACTCGAGAGTGTTAACATTTCTATATTTCCATATACCTGTTCTCTAGTATAGAGATACTGTTCCTTTGGTAGATATTGGGCATACCCCAAACCTTTACCCCTGGGAATTATCGAAACTTTGAGCAGGGGATCAGCGTGTTCTAGAAACCACCCTGCCACTGCGTGACCGGCTTCATGATAGGCGACAGTCTTTTTCTCTTCTGGCTGTAGAACGTTTGTTTTCTTCTCCATTCCTAAAAAGAATAAAAAAATTTATTCATATAATTTAATTAATTTATATAACAAGCAATACAATTTTTGTTGAAAATGTTTGAAAAATAGTTACTGGGAACAAGAAAAGTCTGTTCAATATAAGCACTGTTGCCTTTTGTGTAAACCTCCAAACATAGGAGCAAATTACAACTCAAAACCTCCAAGTATGATAGAAAATATCTCTAAAAAGAGCCTCTAGATTGTTTTGTGTTTCAAACAATGTGTAAACTGATTACCAACCTAAATAATAGCAGCAACTAATGACTATGACAGAAAATGACATTATGTTAGTCTATGGGTTTTGCATTACCTGTCTGCACTTTTGATTTTATTGAGCTAATTTTATCATTTGTTTTGAAGGATCAAAATTTTGGAAAATATTCTTTATTTCAATCCATACTTAACTTTCAACATAATTTTTCCCTCCCTAATTTATACCTAAATTCCCTAAATTTCGGGAAACCTGGCACCTAAACCTGGCAGCCTTAATTAACTGTTTTTCCATTTAACCAATTGCCATTAGTTAAATAGGAAGTTTTACTTCTATTTTGAATTTTATTAAGTTATAAGGAATGTTTTTTTTATAATATAAACAAACATCTAAATATAACTGGCATCCAAATTTACCTCTAGACAAAATGTAACTTCTAAAATGACAACTCTGATCTGTATGAGTGTTTAAATGCACAAAGAATAGGATAGAACAATGTAATTAATTAATCTGTAAAACAGAGGTCACAAGAGTTAAAATAAATTGAGAGTTGAAGGGACAATCCACAAACTTTCCTCTGGATGCAAATACATACATTTATCACACCAGGCATAAAGATAACAAGATAAGAGCCAAACGATCTTGCTGAATAATCACACTATTTTTAGGATGAGTAAATAATTGATTACTAATTAATTTGACTTAAGATAGGCAGTTATCCTACTATCTCATATAAATTTTAATACAGTAGAGCGTCGTTTATCTGAATCAATTGGAGACTGGGGTTGTTCAGATAACTTATTTTTTGGATAACCGATTATGTATGAAAAAATATATTAACCTATCCGGTGTTGAAATTTTTCTCCGTTGCGTATCGCTTTGTGTTAAATTTTTGTCGATGCTAAGACTAATATAAACTTTTTAAAATAATAATCGTGGTATTGTATCGTTAAAAATTATTTCTTTATTTTTTACAAACAAAGTAAATGTATTGAAAAGTATAAAAACAAAAAAATATACACTTTAGAAGTTGATCTAGTATCAAAAACGTTTGATTCAGCACAACACACAGTCTTCAGAACACAACACAAAAGTGCCAGTGCTGCCAGCTAAAACACACACACACACACACACCAACAAAAAAATATTGGAGTAGCCCAAGATATAGCCAAAGATTGCAGCGCCACAGAACTAACAAAAATTTAAATTTGCCAACTGGAATGCTTTCGGATAAACGACGCTCTACTGTAGTTATAATAAATTGACTTTAATTTAGAAATTTCTGGAAGAAACGAATGGCCTGGAGCTGAATTCGAACCCACTTCTGTTTATGGTACAGAACATGTTGCTAATTACATTACCCGAACCTCCATCCAATCTTACTTTCAGAACTATTAATTTTAGTTATGACTATAGAAGTTATACACAATGCCGACTCTATGTGAATCGTTTGGCTCTAATCAATTAATTGGGTTGAGAGTTGATATTACAGCTAACAGGTTATAATAAGTATGTAGAAAATTAAATATGTAAAATTTGATTTTATGTACAGAGATTTCACAAATTTAAAATATTTACCTGCAACGACTCTTTCTATAGCTTGTTCAAAATGTTTCATGGTAATGGTATCGTTCAAGTCTCTAGCTGCGATGAGCGCAGCTTCATTACATACATTTGCTATGTCAGCACCTATAGTTATAGAAAATTATTTTGCTGAGACCATACTTACAATACAAATAAATTAAAAAAAAAACAAATCTCTAATCATAAATAGTATCGATATACTTAATTCTAATATGCTTACTAATCACTAAATGTACCAGTGAAGCCAGGAGTGAGGGCGGCCAATTTCCTAGCAATTTCGAGCTTATCTAGGAGAGTTTTCAAAGGCTTTAAATGTACTTTAAATATAGAAGCTCTAAAAAAAAATTTATATACATATACATAAAAATATTACAGTAACAATACATATTAAGTTATATTCTTATACTTTACCTTCCTTTGATGTCAGGAGCAGGTACAAAAATCTGTCTGTCGAACCTTCCTGGCCGAAGCAGAGCCTGGTCAAGAATGTCCACCCTGTTAGTCGCTGCTAATACCACGACATTTGTTGTCGTATTAAACCCTACGTACAAAAATTAAATAAATAAAAGGACTTAATAGAAATTTAAAATTTTTTAAAAATGGGACTTCAGTTTTATACCGTCCATCTCTACGAGAAGTTGATTTAATGTATTTTCTTGTTCACTATGACCTCCAAAACTTCTTCCGCCCCTCTTCCTTCCCACGGCATCTATCTCATCGATGAATAATATACAGGGAGCATTCTTTCTGGCCAAAGAGAACATATCTCTAACCTACACATTAAAAAATAAAGTATTATCAATAATTTAAGATATATGTAATCATTGTTGTAATTGCTATCACTGTTGTCATTGTCATCAAATCAATATTATACTCAGTATATGGATATATATAATTGCTATTGTACATAAATATGTTGTAAATGAAAGTTAATTTAGTAAAAACTTAAAGTAAACTGGAGCTTAAGAAGAATTAATGATATTTTTGAGCTCCAAATGCTAGCAACACTTGCACCGTGACAAGACATCAATTTCTTATCTTACTAAAATGTTATCTGCTTATCTGCCTTATGTAAGTCTTGTCAAGTATAGTTATTAACCATAAAAAGACTTTTTTCTTCTAGAATTGGCAAAGGAAATTGAACAAATGTAACACATACCAAAAAGTATAACAAATATATATTTGTAAATATCCTGGATGATCAAAATGAAAGGTTTATTTCTGAATAAACTTTGCAATGCTCTGAACTGGCCTTGCTTGTTATTGCTCTGTCACAAGATGCAAGAAATATTAAAATCTCAAATGTTTACTTACTACAGACATATTTGAAAACTGCATTATTAATTGAAAGTAAACTTTTTATTTGATTTTTGTGCATTTTATCACAATACTGTAAAACTAAAGCAATTGAATTTTCAAGATAATACAATTTATCTCTGCTAAGACAGAGAAAAGCCATTGTAAAAATAATTTAACGATAAGAAATAATTAAAACTTCAGAGTAAAAGGGATTATTACAAAAATCAGAAAATCAAACTCATTTGCATAGCTATTTGGTTAAAAAGTTTACAGTATATTATCATAATAATAATCTTTTATGTAGAAAGCAAATTTAGCATCTTTGGTTTTGTCCTTTTCTTACCACAAGAATACAAAGTCACATAAAAGAGCCAATCATTTGGCTCGTCCCTGCTTAAATAAGAAAAATTATTTAAACCTCATCCTGGCAAAAAGTATAGTCAGGGTTCCTACTCAAATTTTTGTTTTGAATTCCCTGACTTTCCCTGACCAACTTTGTCCAAATTCCCTGACCCTCACATTTTTTAGTGTGGAATATCGACATAATAAAACAGCATTTACTGTTAACATTGAGTACATTTAGCCCTCTTTTTGCACAGTTGATATGCTTCAAAGACTGCCACATTAAAAAAATACAGTACATACATCCTGTAGAAAAATGTTTGATAGAATCCACAACTTCAATGTAATGAAAAAATAAGCAATTTACAAACAAAACACAAGCTTTTTATTTTATCATCATTTATCATTATTATTTGTATGTAAATCTAGTAAATACAAGGTAACATAAAATCAACAAAAATTATTCTTTGATAAACAAATAGTACTGTACTGTGCTTAAAATGAACTCTTGATTTAGAAACACATAATTTTAAAATCAATCTTTCAACAAAAAGAGTAACTTTTTTTTAACCTTTTTACATTACCATCTGTTGCATATCTTAAAAACAGTTATTGCAAATATAATGTTTAAACATGCATTATTATATGGATAGGATAGATAGGGTGTGACCCATATCCTATTTCTGAGATCAAAGAATGTTTTGATGAGAAGAAATAAAACTCATATTTAATCACTGAGCCTTCTACTGCCCCCATGAAAGCCTCCAGTGCCCGCAAAGGGGCGTTATCACCCACTTTGAGAAAGGATGATCTAGACCAGTGTTTCTCAACCCAAAACTCATCGCAGACCGGAAAATATCTGCTTTTTTTAAGTGGACCAGTGACAATATTATTTTTAATTGAAAAAAATTCTCTGTTGTAAAAAGAACTGCAAACTACATTGAGCAATAAATATTTGTTATTTTATTTACCAGTACATTAGTATACAAATCAATGTGATCGCTGCTTTTCTTTTTTGCTAGTAAGATCATCAATTCTTGGAGTTAAGGCGGTAACTGCAAGGCGTGAGGCAGAACTAATACTATAATGATTTTGTTGTTTCAATTTTATCATTACCATTGCTGAAAACATTGATTCACATAAGTACGTTGTTGAAAAAGGTAGTAACATCCTAACTGCCTTTTTATGTAAAACTGGATATTCAGATTTAACTTTAATCCAAAACTGTGTTATGGGCATTGATTCAAACAATGTTTTAAATCCCAAGTCTGAACTTAATTTGATTAGTTTTTCGTATTCAAAGTCGTTCAATCTATTAGTTTGCTATCAATAAACGGATTAATAATCCACATATTTCCTATTTGAGAACAACGCATGGAAGGTTAAGTATATATTTTTAAAGTTTTCGCGGACTGGTCAGATTAGAGTTGCGGACCGGCGGTTGAGAAACACGGGTCTAGACTATTTCTCAAGTTTCTATAAAAAATTTCTGTTCATTCCTTTTTTTCTCTAATAATTAAATTATTTTACGTTTTTCTATTTTAGTTCCGGACAATTCCGGAACCTCACACTTGTATTCCTATGAAGTCATAGTATTACGAAAATTGGGATTCTTAAAACTTATAAAATAAAATAAATACAGAAATAAACAACAAACGAAATTACAATTATACGTTATTAAAATATAGAAGTTCAGCGCAGAGAATCGTAACTACAAATCTCTTTCTTTTGCAACATAACTATAAAAATTGTTTTGGTGTTGTTTCGCACAAAAAATAATCAAATTTATTTTAATTTTTTAGTAATGTAATTATTTTTTTTTAAATTTACAGCTTTTTAATTTTTAAATTTTAATTATAAGCAAGTTAACATTGGTTAAACTATCGGATTACCTGTTGATTTTCGAAAATATAACTACAGAATATTTATTACAAGCATGATCAATCTTGCCAGTTTTTAAGCCCTAAATTTGCCAAAATCAGTGATATTTGTTACCCAATGTCATTTCAGTTAACTAATTATTAAACTATGTATCGAAGTTGCGGAAAAAAACGGAAGAGAGAGGGAAAATATGCTTGCAGTACAGTACATTCAAGGAAAATCGTAACAACAAATATAAAAAGCTTGTGCCAACAACAAGTCAGCGCCAGTATTTTACTGTAAACGTCGGGTAACTATTTATAATTTTTTATGTTTTAAACTGAAAAACGATTAAATTACAGATTTTTACTGATCTGTTTAGCTATTTTGAAGTGAACATTCTAATAAATTACGATTTCAACTTTTAAAAGTTTGCAAACAAATTTTTAATTAGTTATTTTTTATTCTAATAAACAATTTCATTTTTTTATAATCGCTGAATTACTAAAATTAAAAATTAAACACTATTACATAAAAGTAGTTTATCCTGTTATTAATTAACTCCCTTGCTACCCACTAATTTTTAATATTAATGTAATTAAACATAAAAAATATTTAAAACTGGGAAAAAAACGAAAGAAATGCGTTAATTTTGAAGAAAAAGCTTCAAACTTTATTTTCCATTGTCTCGCCTTTCTGTGAAATCTGACACCGATGAGTCATTGTGTTTACAGCTGGATGACCTGGAGAACAGCTGGTGTTGGGATTTCCCGGGACATTCTCATAGAAGTCTCGGGAGGAGAAGGGTTTAAAGTAGAGTGAATACTAGCTGGCCGTATATTTTTAAATATTTTTCAAAAATTACGTTTTTTTATTGCGATTTCCGACCCCCCGACTTAATTAAACGTATATATAATAAAATATATTAATTTAAAAAAATTAAAAAACTATTGGAGGTCGTTTTTGACATCAGAAACTAGCTTTAAATAACTTTATCGAAGTAAAATCCGTGCACTACTACTTTAGAACGATGAATGAAATTTGATAAAAAAAACTCCCATTAAAAAACAATTAAGAGTTAATCGTGCGTCATTAAAGGTATATTAAAATCGCGATAAAATATTTTCGCGCGGGAAAAAATTTTTGAAAAAATTTGGAGACTTAAAAAACATCCAAAAAAAACAAAAATTTTTTCGGAGGGCCCAAATGCCCGAGTTTTATATAACGCTATGGAACTTTCCCGAGTTATCTCGGGTTTTAAAGATTGCAGCATTACTTCTTGCCGCCTGCGTATGGCTATGATTGGTCATCTATATTCAGCAAACCAAATCAACAACGCAGTTAAGGAGACAAATTCCCTGACTTTTTGACAATTTTCGACAAATTCCCTGACTTTTTGACAATTTTTGACAAATTCTCTGACTTTTTCAAAAAATAATGAAAATCCCTGACTTTCCCTGACTTTCCAGGTGCGTAGGAACCCTGTATAGTTTAAAATACAATCAGAGGAATGCTTTAGAAAGTTGTTTACATATTTAGGTAGAAAAGTCTAAAAATATTGACTTTTTAACTGTGCTTGAGTAATATGAGAAAGACAACCCAAAATAGCTAAATGCATGTTGTTGTCCATCAAGTGAATATTTTTTAGTAAATTTCATCCAAATTCATATATTAATTATTTTTTGAAATCTGGGTTTAATTAAACAAATATGCTCAGGTCAAAAAATCAATGTACTTACGCGAGATGGACCCACACCGACAAACATTTCTAAAAATTCAGAGCCGGATACCGTAATGAAGGGAACATTGGCCTCTCCGGCAGTGGCCTTGCCCAGCAGAGTCTTACCAGTGCCTGGAGGTCCTGTCAGAATGGCTCCCTGTTTAAATAAATGACATTAGAAAAGAAACACATTTTAGAAGTTTAAAGTTTAATACTCAATTTTTTTTATAACCTTTGGAATTTTTGCTCCTAATTCAATGTACTGTTGTGGATTTTTCAAAAAATTTACAAATTCCATAATTTCTAGTTTGGCTTCTTCACATCCAGCAACATCTCTAAGAAAAATATAAATTTGTAATTAAAAATTTAACTTTAATATCAAATAAATAAATTAATGAGAGAGAATAGAAATTCAGAGTTATGCACTTCTGTTTATAGACCAATATTACATATTTATTATTACCACATATTTTGACTACTACGTATTTTGACTACTACTTACAGAAAGACTGATCTAGGAAGGTGGGTTAATATAAGTAATGACCAATAATAAAGTTATATTTTTTCCAAATTGTTTCAACAGATACAAACCATAAGGTCTGTCCAGCAATAAAAGTAATGAGAAGTTCCACTATTTTTGGTCATATGCAGTTTTGTATTTATTCTGTCCAGTTTTAACTCTGAAGTGTTCCTGTTTCAACAGATCTGATATTAGAAAGAATCCTCCAATACATTAGAAATGATGCTACAGTTATAATTTAAATGACCGCTCACAATAAAGACACTTGTCTGAAGAACATAAGGCGATATAAAATTTTTCCAGATTAGATGAAACTTGTTTAAACACACCTAGAAATTCATTCTCTTAACAACATAAAATTATAATAATAAGCAAAGGAGCCTGACTATTATCCAATATTTATGAATACCAGGAATGAAATTTAACATCAGCTATATTTTCATCCTCCTCTCTTGAGGAAAGATTACAAATGAGACTAAAATTGTGTCACTAATAATATTTCATAGTCTCAAAAGACGAGTCAATTATAGATAAGGAAAAGCCAATTCGATTCAGCAGCCTATCCAATTCAGTATTCTGACTGATTTTTTGTGATTTGTTCATTGACAATCATTTCAAAACCAAATATACTGCATATTCAAGAGAGGAAGGGTCACAGATATTTCACAAAAATTTAAGAATTAGTTTAATAAAACATTTATGAGAAAACTTTAAATCCATTTCAGAACTAATACATTGAAATCGATCTCTTGAAACCAAAAAGATGGTGAAATAGCAGCAACTGAATTGAACCAATCTCTTCTATACAAAAAGGTCTCAAAAGAATAAACTGTGGAATCGACATAAATAATTATATATCTTCTTAAATAAGGGCCATGTAACTACATGATTTTGGCCATATGATTTTCACCAAACTCAAGTAATTAAATATCAATAAAACAAAACATCTTTTGTATGATTCCTGCTTTTTGTATTATAATTTAAAGTTTTGAAAAATTCCTTGATCTAATAGTTGCAATGTAAAAGTTGTATTTGGTGGTAAAAATCTGTTACAGCTTTTCAGAGTAGGAATTATTTAATGTGAACTGTAATTGTCAATAAATGAAATAATTTTTCTGTTTTCAGTAATCGTGTGAGTATTGAACTTATTCAACCAGTTAGAAAAAAGCTCTGAAATAATCGATGTATTTGACATCAAGTTCAGTTTACTGTATAAAAATAATAGGGAAATACTTTGAAACTTTTGCCGAAGAAAAGTAATTTTGAATTTTGTGCATAATTAATTTAATTTTAATCTCCAAAGATAAAATACTGTTAACAACATTTATCCATAAACTTATTAATTATTATTAATAAAAATTATTACATTTTCTCAAAATTTAGTTGAAATTGGAAGAAAACACAATTTTGAAGGACTATACTTAAGATGTAAAATTTTAATGCAGAGTCCAACACACATCTTTTGATAAAGAAATAGGCTATTTAAAATTAAGTTTTTTTTATATATTTGATTATTTAATACTGGAAAAAAAACAAGATGAATAGATCAAACAGTTTGCAAGACACTAAACATCCATGATTTTACACATACAATCAAAACTCAGTTATAATGAACATAGATATAAAGAGTTCCATAATAATTTTAAGTTATGCATATTTCCATACATTTTCTCACAGTTATAATGAGGGTACTTCATGGATATACCAAGCAAATTTTCGTAACTATGCAAACAGACCAACATTCTTGTTACTAACTAATTGTACTAGTAGTAAGAAATGTGATACTGAATTCTTGGAAGAGATAAAAACCAAAAGAGTTACTTAGTTTTAAGACCTACATCAATTACCGGCTGATTTATCACTTAACTTTCTTTTCGGAAATAGCCCCCTCTTTCTTGACTAACTTCCTACTCTGCCATATACCTAATCATCACTATGATTGTAAAATTACCATATACTCTAGTTAGAAACAAACCCTTATATGAGGAGGAGGTCTATGAAGAAAAGAAAATGTCTCTCAGTTTACAAAAAAGTAGAAATTATTTACAATTTAAAATGTGTTGCTACAAACATCAAAGTGAGTAGAAAGTTTTCTTTGTCATCTTCAACAGTATTGACAATATTAAAAAATTAAGCAATCATCAATTTTAAGATCTGTAGATAAAAAGACTAACTGAAATTAGGTATATTAATTAGTATTATCGTTATTTACAAAAAATAAATTGTTATATAAACCATAATATAATTAAACTATTAATAAAAATACTGTATAATGTAATTACATACACTTTTTTTAATTAACTTATTTAGAATTAAAAATTAAAAGATAGATCTCACTAATTATCAGTGACATAGCTACAAATTTTGTCACCCAAGAGCAGCTCTTATGTGTTTGTGCTAAAGCAGACACCCATTACATCACTGCTCTTCATAAATATAACAAGTAACAGTTATACTGAGGAAATCTTACCAGTCCCCTAATGCTCATTATAACTGAGTTCGACTGTATAAGTATCATTTCCATTTTTTTCATTAATCTGTAACTTATAATTATGTGTTTCATTCTGAATGCTTAGTCTGCTTACAAAAGCAGCAACAAAAATACCGTATTACTAGCGTATAAGACAATCTCACATATAGGACAAGGTGTGATTTTAAAGATCAAAATAAAGAAAATTAGATTTATTAATACAATTCTAATTTTATTACATTTAATCATAAATAAAATATTAAGTATTTGGGCAGACTTTGTCTTCAAATACTTAACTACATACTCGGTTATAAGATCCATATGACGAAAAACCCACAAATTAAAATTGTAAAGTATCGTCACCAGAGTTTTTCTAATCTACCACCAGAGGTTTTCTAATAATCACCAGAGGTTTTCTAATCTACATTTTCCAGTGTTTATTTCTTTGTGGATAAAAGCCAAAAATGCCCTCAAGAAAGTATGGATAGAAAACAGAAAACGCCTATATGTCACCAGTTCCTTTTTCAGAAACTCTTTGTATTTTTAATTGGATATATTTTTTGTTCTTTTTTAAAGGACTTTTTAGCATTTTGATAGCTAGTAGCCTAAAAAGAAAGGTCAGTCGCCAAGATTGTACAGTCTGGAACACGAAATTAATAAATTGTGGTCCCTATTTGGACAAACTTTGTCTTCAAATACTTAACTACAATAAGATCCATATGACGAAAAAACCACAAAATAAAATATTATCAAATGCACATATTAAGGCAAACAACCATGTTTTCTTGACGCTATCACCTTTTGTCTACTTGGACTCGCCTTCCAAAGCTTTGTTACAACTCTCCTCTTTTTCACTCTCATTCCATAAAGCATCATCCTCTGATCCATTGAGTGAATTTGAAATGTGGCATTTCAAAATTCACTCAACTTTGACTTTGCCATCAGCTCTTGAGGAATGCTTTTCCATGCACCTGATACCCACATAACAAAGCCAAAAGATTATAAAGCACATGACCAGAAAAAGTTTATTTTTAATGATTCAAAATGTGCAAATATTCATTAAAAATACCAATTTAACAAATATGAAATAACTATATTTATAATCATTGCTGAGTGACTATTTTTGGACCATCTTTTTGAAAGCAACATTTACCTTTACCTCGATAGAACCATGCTATCTATAATGGAAGCATGAACTATACATGGTTCACAAAAATGATTGCAAAAATGCAGAGAATTCTTCGCTCGCACATATAGGATGACCTAGATTTTTGAAGCAGTGAAAAATGAATAACTCGTCTTATATGCAAGTAAATATGTTATATTGAAATTATCACGTCGTATAAACTTGTTTGGTAAGATCATTTAATAGAGTTTGTGTTGCTATACGAATAATTCAAGATTAAGCATTCCAAATGATCTAAAGCCAGCTCCCCACATTTGGTATTTGATAAATACCAAGCAAATATTTGGCCAAAACTGAGTAGTATGGGCTATTTACTGATAACTGTTATTTGGTATTCACCATTTCCCACTCCCTGTAGGCATATTGTGCTGAATCAAAGTAAACAAATACTCGATTATTTATAAATCAGCAAATATCAAATATATGGAGTCAGCTTAAGGATTGAGTATCAAAATTAGGATATCCGGATTTTCATCTAGTGCCAATACTGTATATCTCGGCAGATAAGATGACCTTCAGATATGACGAGGTATAAATTTTTGCCAAAGTCTTATAGTTTTAGCATATATCTGTCCTATAAGACAACCCCCAAACTATCAGTGGCCTATGAATTTAGTTTACATCAGTGATCATCAACTGAATAATAATACTGTATAATGTATACGGAATTATGTCCTATTTGTAATTTTTTGAATGAACAAATTTTATTTTCTTGCATCTGGCAGCACTGCCCTGCAACTGTTGCAAACATTTGCAGTGATTCGGCATTCAGGTAATGACCTCGACTATTCACAAAAACGTCATATGGGCTATTCTATTTTTTGCACATACCCTACTCTCTCTACTAGTAAATAATTATGGTTTGTCCATTTTTTTAATAATGGTTTTAATTTATATAAATTTCAATCTAATTTTTTTTTGTATCTGTCCTATAAGATGACCCNACTCTCTCTACTAGTAAATAATTATGGTTTGTCCATTTTTTTAATAATGGTTTTAATTTATATAAATTTCAATCTAATTTTTTTTTGTATCTGTCCTATAAGATGACCCTGGATTTTGGGTGCCGATTTTTATGATTCAACTATCATCTTATCTGCTGAGATATATGATAGTTCCCTGTTTACTTGACAACCATGTTGTTAGATAAGGGCAATTCTTTGAAACAAGTTTTGAAAAAAATGCATATTACATGGCAGGAAATACAGTCACTGTTTATAACAACAATCGATCAAGCAAATAACACAATAGATTTGACAATGGCAATTTTTAATTATACTACTTACTTAAATTTTACACCTATTTCTGCTGGATTTATCAACTTTGCAGTAGTTTCTCCCATTCCGAAAAGTCCCATTCCTCTTCTTGTAGCTCCGCCTCCCATTAATCCACTGGAACGTCTCATCAACCAAAATATGAATCCAAATAGTAATATAGTCGGAAGCATGCCAGTAACATTTGATCTATAAAAATAAATAAATAAATATATATATATATAACATTAACATTATTATTATTAAGTTTTAGCATGCAACAGTAAATTTTAAAGTAAGATTAAATTATCTTTATCTTTGACAATAACTGATACTTATTGTGCCAGTAGATGTTTATTGGGCTACAATTTTTAGATTGCAGACCTATACATTCCCACTGTTATCTGTCCTTCATTAATCTCGAGAACATAATTAGATAAATGAAAATCAAGACTAGAAATGGAAAGTTTGGGGGCCGAAGGACCCAATTAACTATATAGTTTTGGATCTGAACCAGAGCTCATGTGATTTTTAAATTAAATGATAATTAAAAATTGCAACCTGGCATTGTGAGGATATCACAATAATATACATTCAATTTTTACATTTTTGAATTTTAATAAACATTTATTAAAATTTGAAAAAATAACCATAAAAACCCAACTGAAATGGAAAGTTATAAAAAGTTTTGGAAATGCACTTTTGTTAATCAGTTTACTTGTAAAAAATATATAAGAAATAAGCTTTGTTTAGAACCTGGTAAGACAAACATTGATTATTGTCAAAGACGAAAACAATTTAAAAGTTTATGAATTTCATATAATTTACATAAACAAATAGACACCCTAGTAATAAATAAACAAATTAACAACCCTGAATGTCAGCAAATGCATAAAGTTCATGTAAATGACTGTAATGTACTGTACATTGTCATATTGGAAAAGAATCTTCCAATGTTCTCCAGTGGGCTGACAGACAAATCATCCATTTTGTTCATGAGGAATGGAGCTCATCATACTTCCTAAAAAAATCTGGAATTGACTAGCAATGCAAGGTATTTGCATGCTTCCATGGGCCACTCACTCACCTGACACAAATCCTAAAGAACATGCCTGGAATCTGTTGGATTGTGCAATGCAACATCATTCACAAAAATCCATTTCACATAGAGAACTGTTAGATTTAGACTGTTTTGCATGCCAATTGGGCCAACAAAGAACTCGTTGATTCATGCCTGACTGAGTTAAGGCTTTGAAGAAAGTGATAGGATAACTAGGTTTTAATATGCACATATGGTATTTATATCACATGGATACTGTGAAATAAATGACAATATTTAAAAATAAAGGTGTATTTTTTCGACTATAAATTCGTATCTTCTATTATCAGGACTTATTATATTTTCATATATATTATTATATTTTCGTATACCTTTCAGGTATACGAAATAAAATAAAAATTTTTCTGTTAATCTTTGTAATATTATCTGTAAAACCAATATAATAAGTCCTGATAATAGAAGATACGAATTTATAGTCGAAAAATTTACATATTAATAAGAAAAAAGGACATTGAGGCAATTTAATTAATAAAGGTGTCTGTTTACTCACGGGTTATCTCTATAGTTTTGTTTAGAAAACATCCATTTATAATACAAAAATTTCTAAACAATATATAGCTTAATCAATTCAGCTTGAAAAATAATGTCTAAATCTTAAATCTATGGTGTTGTTGACACAGAAATGAAGAAAAATGAACAATTCACAAATTGAATAAGAGCACTATACAGCATTCAGCACCATCTTCTACTAATTATATGAATTAGTAGAAGGTTTTTACACTTTATATCATATTTTTCTTTATTTAATTTTATACTTTATTTTTTAAAGAGACTTTTACAACAAGAAAATAATTACATTATAATTAAATAAAGCTGAAATTCACTAAAGAAAATCAACACTTACCCATCCATTTCACTCTTATAGACAACTGGTATAAAATTAGGAGGTTCTATATTCATCTCTAACTGGACATTTTCTAGATTTCTTTCGAAAGTATCGACGCTGCCGATATTAAACCATAAAATATTCTGAAAATAATTAATAATAATTATATTATATTTCATTTATATTAAAAATAAATAAAATTATGTAGAAAACTATGATAAACCAATTTTAGTTTAACTGCTTGTTTATTCAGACTATATTATTTATGATTCTGAATTTAATTAGCATTTGTATTATATTTTAACTATATTATCATCACACTTCATTTTTATTTGTCTGCAAATAATGGCTACATCAATTTTTTGTACTTTAATTTAAAAACTGACATTTCAAAAAATAATTTATGAAAATTAGTCTGTAAAACATACAAAAAATTTAGTTTTGATATTTTTCTCTTCTCTAGATTAATACCTGGCCCACCAGTGGCCAAATGATTCTGTCCCTGAACACTGGGAGTTCGGTCGTGGATTCACATGGAGTTTTCTGGGTTTACTCCGCGTCTTTAACATCTGAATAGGGGCCAGTTACCCTTAAAAGACTTCCCAGAAGGTAATTCTCCCCCTCATAACATCATGTATCTAGAGGAGAAGGCAATGGGGAACCTCTTTGGTACTAACTTACTCTAGGATATCACTAGGTGTACAAACTAATCCATACTAACCAGTGCTGGGTGTTTGCCAACATCAGGGTGCCCTGATATGGCATGTGAAGAGAGAAAGAGAGAGAATACTTATAAAAAAATATAATATGTCATTACAAATGGTTCAACAGAAACACCATAATTTTTGGTATAGTGGTGCCAGAAAAAACTGCAGCACCCATAATTGTTAGATACTTCTGCTAAGTGCACTAAAATGATAAAATTTGTTTATGATTTGCATCGTACAGGCTCTCAAAGCCAAAAAGGTGCATGGCAATAATAGAGAATTGACCCAACAAAGTATTAGTGGTCCATAATTCTATTGTACATTTCCATTGTTTACCCAATGGAATGTCACTTAATTTGAAATGGTACTTTCCTAATTATTATACAATGCAATTATTTACTAATCACAGAAAGTTTGCCTGTTACCTAGCCAGGTTCACAAACAGGCCGTCAAATGAATGTCCAACTTGTCTTGCTATGGATGGCTTGAAACATTATTTTTACAATTGTATTATGTTTGAAAGAGAAAGGTTAGAATTGAAAATACTGATGAAAGAGAATGGAATTAGCTGGCCTTGTAAACTCTCAGATATTTGGAGTAGTAAAAACATTTATAATGCTTTTCTTAAACTTGCTAAACAAATTACTACAAATAACCATCAACTCATACATAATTAATTTTCAATTGCATTTGTTTATTATAGTTTGTTCATCCCTTTACATTAATGCCTTTATTTATTTATTTATTTTTTTTATTGTTTTTGTTTAATTGTATCTTGCTCTTGCTGCTCCACTCACTTCTGGGTATACTGCAATGCTGCTCATAATTTATATCGATTACCTCTTGTGTATATTGTCTTTACTCATATATTTATTATGGTTACTCAGTGTCTACCTCTCAATAATTGCATTATGTGTATTGCATATCTTCAGAATTTAGGTTTACAAGGATAAATTCTCACAATTATTTTGAACTATCCTTGCAAAGGTGCTTTGTTCACATCTCATGTGTATACACCAGTTGTGTGTTGTTTTAAAATTGTTGTCCTACCTATACCTATACCTATACCTTAAAATTGTTGTCCTGCTTTGATAGGCTTGTGTTTCAACAGGGATTCACCCATATAATGTATTGCTTCTGTAGTGTTGTGCTCGAATGGTGTGATGTTCCATAGGTGGTGTTTCCACCTCATTCTTCTCATTTATGTGATAGAATTGTACTTTCACTTTCACATTTGGTATGAAGATGTTAAAGTGGCTGTTATTCAGCATCCCCTTGTTATACTTTGACAAGTGATTTACCTATTGGATGTAAAGTTGGTGTGAAGTCTTTACAGTGATGGCTTCTACATTTTATTGATGAGCTCCAATAACAAATATGTCTTAGTGAGTGCCTACAGTGTGATTGCTTATTTGGATCTTCCTGATGTGTTTTGACAATGATGTGCCTCATTGCAAAGTGCTTACTGAAGTGTTGTACTTCAGTTTGTGGTGCTTCACTATCCCAGGGATATGCTTTGATGCAGGTAAGCTTAGAAAGTGTTGTCATACAGAGTTTATGTGAAGTGTTTGTGTTATGTGACGTGCTTACCGAAGTGCTGTTCTTCGGTGGGTGGTGCTTCACTGTTCCAGGGATGTGCTTCGATGGAGATGAGCTTTGAAAGTGCTATTCTACAGAATTTATGCAATGTGTCTGTGTCGTGTGCTGAACCATACATGTCCTGCTTTATGCTATTTCCAGGAAACATGGTGTCTCAGGAAGAGAAGCATATCTCAACCAAAACATGTGAAATATGTAGAGTTATCGACAGAATATATAGCAACTCTACTATTCAGCTAAAACTACAGTTCAACACTCTGAACTACGACAGAGTTTGCTGCATTCTGCTGCAATAATTAACTTTAGATTGCTTGCAGCCACTTAATTGTTTACTTGGGCATTGTCATTGCATTTACACGAACTTCTTGTTAAGGATAACATCCTTTTAATAAACTCTATTGTAATACAAGAGCCCAATTGTACAGCAGACATCTGCTCAACCTTAGTTGTTAAGTTCAATTTGATCATAACTATTTTAACTGTTTAATATATTTTTATACTTCTTCTGTATAAATAACATTTGTTAATTCTTACAATGTATCTATGCTGCGTGGCCCACTAATTCAGCATTGTTCTATTATTTTTGCATAATTTTGTCCTGTGAAAACATTCTTTCATATGATGTTAATATGTTTGTATTTTGCCATGCAAAATCTATCTATTTACTGTTTGTTCAACTTATCATTATTGTTACATTTTATTGTTTGTATTTAATCTACTTTAACCTCTATATTTGATGTCATATGTTAACACTACTACTTTTTTTAATTGTTTTTACAATCCACCATTCTATCAAACTCATACTGTTTATTATCTTCTGTTTAAACCCCCGACTTTCAAGAATGGAGGTAGGATCCCTGTCATTGGACAGCAATCTCCTAAGATTTGGTCGTGGGGAAACTGGCAGAAAAAAACGCGTGTCACCTAAAAATACAGCAAATATGGAGAGTGACATGACCACAAAATGCTATCGCGGGAAGGACTATTGTGGATTCTTTCAGGAGATGCAGTGTAGTAGCAGGAAAAAGCGATCTTTTTCCTGTTACAACTAAAACAACGTATCTAGCTCCACAATTTAGAGGCGCATAGCACATGCGCATTATAACCGCACGTGTTTTTATCTTCTGTTTAATTATAATTTGTTCTTGTACTATTATACCTGATAATGCATCAAGCGGGATCAGGTTATGTACTTTTGTACCTCTAAATAAATGATTGATTGATTGTTTACCCAATGTTAACTAATAGTAATGCATGCTAATATTATTTTCCGAACATACTTTCATAATATTCTTTTAGTAGAATAATTTTCTATTGAGTCATGTGTGTGTCTATCCATTTAGAATATATTACAATTTATTCTGTTGGTTTTTATTGCAACAACAATGTTCCAAAACAGCAGAAAATGAAAAGCTATGAGTGATGCAGTTTTTATCTGGCATCACTATTTCATATATGCAGGTTTTAGATATGTGTAAGTATATGTGTAAGTTGTTAATCATCCTACAGACTATAACACAACTCTGTATAAAATTATTTTAGATTTTAATCAGAAGTGATAACTTAGCTAAACTTTTATAGAAAATATATAACATTCGTTAAACAAAATAAGTCTTGGGATATGAAAATAGCTTTTAAAATATTTGCCCACCTCTGATTTAGATAAACAATTTCTTTTACTTTTCATCCTATGGGCACTAACAGGCCCTTTTTTTAAATCACATCCCATTGTGGTTTTTGCTAGGCCCAGAATGGGGGTAGCCAGAAGGTGAAGAATAAGGCCTGACATAGCCAGGTTAGAACATTCCCCAAAAAATCCCCGGTTTTGATCATGAGTTCCACAGAGCAACAGGGAATCTGGCTGTCAACTTCCAAACACACACACACACATTTTATNTTTAATTAAATTAAATATAGATCATTTTAATTCTTATTTTTTCCTTTTGCAAAACAGCAAAATTGGAATAAGTTTTATTGCATCAATAATAATTTCTTCGTTTGATGATAGAATTTCTTTTAAATTATATGAAAAATTTAAGTTTTATTATATATGATTTATTTTAATTTATTTTTCATTTCAAACATCTGTTTGCTATTAATTATAAATTATACAGAAGTTGCATCTGTGAAGTATTTATGAGAAATGAAATTTACTTTTTTCTATTAAAAAATAATAAAGTTTTATTATTTATCGTTACGTTTTTCTTTTGCTTCACCACTTTTTAATATTCTTTTAATCAATAAAGTAGTTTGCGATGTCGTGATGGGGAATTTTCTTCACCATTTTAAAGTAGTTAATATAGGCAAAAATAAATTGTGTGATATATAAAATTAAGATTTAAGATGAAACCTGAGTGTGATAGATAGACGACATCTATTAAATTGTATGTGTAGTCTATGCAGGAAACTGAGGATTTGTATCTGATATTTCTGGTTATAATCTATACAGTATGTAGATAATCATACAAGACATTAATTTCATAATTTTGCTATTAAGAACCGCGTTACTTTTTATATTTTCTAAATTAATTTATAATTCATCGACAAAGAAATGGTAGTTTCAGTTAAAGTAGGATTATATTATATACATAATTTCTTACATTTCCTTCAGTCATATTTCCAGGTAATAATTTTACTCTAACCCATTTTTTATTTACAACTTCTAATTTTTCAACCTGTAAATAAAAAAGTATTCGACATTAAATAAACTTACATTTTTATAATTAAGTCAACATTACTACTACTTACTATTCCTCTCCCCAAATATGAATTAACAAATTCTTTCCAAGTAATTTCTTTGTAACGCATTTCGTTAAAGGCTAGTAGTCCTAATATTCCAAGAGTACTGATTAAGGCAATCGTCATTAATTTGTTTTGATTATTAGAGCCCCTGAAATAAATTATATATTAGAAACATTTTAAGTTTATGAAAGTTTGGCCAATTGGTAGCTAAGTTTGTTACTGAAATGTTTCCTTGTTTGCCAAATCATTAATTTAAATTCTATTTTGGGCATGACATTTCTGACTAATGAACTTTTAATGAGGATTGTTTCTAGAACAAACAAATATAGTCATTGAGGATTAAGGCATTGTACTTAATTAAAATAAAATATTAATAAAAATGACATTTTGATAAGAATGTTCAAATGTTTTGGTCTTTATTAATAGAAAGGTTTAGGGCCATTAAGAGCATATATGGGACCCAGAGGTAGAACGGCCCTCTTTTGCCAAATTTTTTTGGAAAAATGAAAAACAAAATGTTTCTTTATTAATAAATAGCAGTCTTAAAGATTTCATTTTTCTGTTAGTAAAAGTAACATTAATTTATAGGGGTAGGAACCACTGTGGGCACCTAAGTTCTCTTCTGGCCCAGAGAAAATTCCATAACTCTTCTCTCTTGACAGCCTGGAAATGTTGAAAAGCAACTCTGTATTCTGTAATGTATATTGATACATTAACAAAAAAATTTTAATAAAAAATAGTGTTAAAACTTTTTTGTCATAACTTTGTTCAATTGACTTTCATTTTAATATTGTTGATTTTTTCATGCTTTACTAGTTTCCTATTTTGTTTGTAGACACATGGAAAAGGCCAACTGGCTATAGTGTCTTTTCTTTATAAAATAAAAAATAAATAAATAAAATAGTAAAATTTTAGGCTTTCACTCCATTCATCCTTATTGTTATTAACAAGACATATTCCAAGTGAGAGTGTCATTATGTAAGCAAGCTCAGGCCTTTTTAAAGTGCACTTCCACACTGAAGTCAAACTCGGCTTTATTCAAAACATACATGAAGAAAAAATTTTGTATTTTGTCAGTAACACGAATTCAATCTGAACATAGTATCTATCTGCCTGTTTGTATTGTTTTTAAACAAAATTAGTCTACTGATTTTTTTCTAACCAAAAATAACAGCAAGAAATTTGAAATTGTTTACAGTTTAAACTTGCCAATCAATCAAAAGCATAATTTTAATTTCCAAACATTAAATGGGTAGGATTCCAAGAAAACAGTTAAATAGTTTAACTGTTCATAATGCAATCACACTTAAAATTTAAATTACAAATGAAATTCATTAACAATTTCAATTTGAAAATTCATTAGAATTAGGCCATTAGATTAATTAATTTCATTTGACAAAGAGGCCAGGACTGTAACGGTCTGACTGTACAGTGGAGTCAACCTTTATTTAGACGTAATGTTTTGCATATTGTGGTGGACAAGAATTCTCTAAATAACCTATTGATTCCACCATAAGACTTATTTCCTGAGGTATGAAAAAAGAACAAGACAACTCTCTTATTATAAAGTCTTATTTTTATAATTAACTTCATAGTCATGCAATTTTTTTAAAACTTCTTATGCTTAAAAACTGTCTAACTGCTTCTAATTATAAAATATAAAGTCAGTCAAGAAGTCAGTCAACAAAAAAATTTGCCAAAATTAACAGCAACTCCTGCCAATACAGACTCCCCAGCTTTGCTTAAAAGTGCTAATTTATTGAAAGACAAATATAATTATAAACAAAACTCTACAATGAATGATGTATTATAAGTATTTTGGAACATGCTAATTCTGATAACATTACACAATTGATGAAAACATCTTTATTTACAATAAGTGAATTATACTGTATATACATATTAGATACATATATTATATTGTTAATGGATAATATTAATTATACTTGAGAGATCAGCAATGTTATCCAATTGGCATGTTTATGAGCATATGTATTCATAATTTGTCAATAGATTTGCATTTGTAACATATTTAATAATCAATATATGTGGGAACTGTATAATTCTGATAATTATTAAAATACACATTCATCTCATCATATTTTATAATAAACCAATCTATTATAATAATTTACTTACTTTCCACCTCCAAAACTAAAGTTAAATTCATAATCAAATGGCTTTCCTGGACCTGGACTCGAACTGCTTCTTGAAGGAGCTTCTTTCGGCTGATCTATGTGCACAAAAATTTAGTTAAATTTTTCATAAAAGGAAATAATATATCATAATTTTAAAATGATTGAGACAAAATGATTTGCAATTCTGATCAGTTGACCACATCAAACTGCTGATTGATGAAAGAATGTCTCTCTAAAGAGATGGAGATTTCATGATTGCCATACAAGTTCAGGCCACAAATACAAAAAAAAAACTACAGAAAGCACATTTTAAAAGACAGCTCACAGATAACACACGTAAAAAATGCCACATCACACACGAAACCATACAATCCATTACATCAGGATGCAAGCCTTTAGCACAAACAAATGTCAGTAGTCTTATTTACATTAACATAACCAAATAGCAAACATAATACATCAAAAGCTTGCACATAAACACAAACTATTACTATTACACACCCAAGAATCATACTACAAATACTCACTTCAGTTGGTCATAGAAAACAAACACAAAATATACTATGACTGTGCAATAATTAAAGACAAAACAATCCAACACAACAAACAAGATATCACATTTCATAGTCATAGCTGTTCCAAATCTATATATATAAAAATGAATGAATGAATGAATGAGTGTGTGTGTGTGTGTGTGTGTGCCCCCTTCATGCATTACCACACCGTTTATCCGATTGCCGTGAAACTTTGGAAAGTTGTTTAATACACTCCCACGAAGGTTTTTGGCATAGTACATTTATCCTACGATAGATGGAGCGTGTTTACACGAGCATTCGAGCACAGTGTGTTCGATCAATTTCAAATTGTGAAAACAATTCCCCTTCAAAAAATTTTTCTATATATGCATTTGTGAACTGTTATTTACGATATTCGTAATAATGTTTGTTTAATCACTTTATTTCAACTTTTTTTTGCTAATTACATATTCACTCGAACTTTGTTAAAACTTTAACTGTATACCGAACAACAACCGAAGTTGTAGAAGGAAATTTGCCTATTTTACCGATCTAGGTATCCCCCCCTTTTCCAAATTTTAATATTGACTCAAAATAATTTAAAAAGACAAATTGCAATAAAACAGTTTATTATCCAACTATCAGAAATTTCACAACATGCCAAGGAAGAGAGGAAGGAGCAATTAAATAATTAAAATTATAAAGGATTTAAAAATATATATAAAAATGGGGAATATCGCACTTCTGACAATCGCTGCCAGTGTGTGGGCTAAATTTGGAGAATCCATGCTTCTCGCATGGACAACTGTATGTGGCCGGCTCACGCGTCGAAAAACCTTCCGATTTATTTGTGTATGCACCAGACGAAAAAACAAAAAATATCGTGTATCCACAAACACTCCAATAAATAAATTGAATTGAAACGACACTTTGAAATATTTTTCCGATGAAAATGAATAATAATAATAAGTTTCAATAAAAATGAAATGTAAATTGAATTTTATCATAATGAGTTTGCTTGAATTTCCTTTCTTCTGAGATCGCAGAAATGCACGACGGGTAAGCTAGTACAATATATAGAATACATACACTGAAAAAATTATTAAATACTCAGAACTTGCCCACAAAATAAAGCACCAATGAAGAATGAATAGGGGTAGAGAATGGAGGTTGTACTTTTGCCCATAGTCCTTTCTTGCAAAAACATCATAACACACACAGTACACAGAAGTCTAGAAATATTAGGGCTTCACAACAGTACACACAACACATTACAGATGGCTGCCATACTAAACACATGCCACATAGGAAAGTCTTACAAATACATGAACATTACCTAACTACAACAACAATTTTTCTGTAGCTATTTATTGATCTGAAACAGCATTGGAAATCAGCATTAACCAAGTAGCATGCAATCCTCATACACATTAATAATCATATACAGTATAGCGTCATTTATCCGAAAGCCAGTCAATTGAAACGTCAGTTAACCAAAAGCATTCCAGTCGGCAAATTTAAATTTCCACTAGTGCTGTGGCACTGCAACCCTTGGCTATGTCTTGGGCTACTCCAATATTTTTTTTTGTTGGTGTGTGTGTTTTAGCTGGTAGCACTGGCACTTTTGTGTGGTGTTTTTCCAAGGACTGTGTGTCGTGCTGAATCGAACATTTTTGATACTACATTAACTTCTAAAGTATAAATTTTTTTTGTTTTTATATTTTTAAATATATTTATTTTGTTGTACAAAATAAAGAAATAATTTTTAACGATACAATAGCCACGATTATTATTTTAAAAAGTTTATGTTAGGCTTAGCATCGACAAAAACTTAACGCAAAGCGACATGCAACGGAGAAAAATTTCAACACCAGATAGGTTAATATATTTTTTCGTACATAATCGGTTATCCAAAAAATAAATTATCTGAACAACCCCAGTCCCCAATTGATTTGGATAAACGATGCTCTATTGTATGTTAAAATAAACTCAGAAAAAAATGAGATATGAAATAATTTTAATCCAATGACGGGAATTCAAGTGTTGATCAGTCAGCTGTGATTCAACACAGAAAACTAGGTTTAGTACCAACAGATATCACTAGCAAAAGCAAAAACAGAGTAAAAAAAATACAATTTATTTTTACATATTGAATTTGATTATTATTACCATTTTGCAAAATGAGAACAGCAAAATTGGCAATTGTGCAACCAAAGCAAATATCATTAAAACAAGATGATTGCAAGATAAAGATAATTTTTAATGCTTATTCCATCCATTTATTTATTGAAAAAAAAATTTCAAAATTAATATTAGTAACGGTAAAAATATAATTATAAAATTTATTCTTTATATCTGTTGTGTTTATATCTCCCTTTCTTATCATAAAAGAAACTTTAAAACAATAACATGTATTCCAAAATTTCTTTCTTTCTTTTACCTTTTAACATTTAACTTCAATGTGAGACAAACCATTCATATTAAAATGTAACTACAATAATACACATCTTTATTCTTAAACTATTATACTATACAATATTAGCTGTATAATAAATAATGTAAAAAATGTTCTAATAATATATGATTAAATTCATTATGATATAAAAAGAAATTTACTGTATATGCACTACCATATAAAGCTTTTATATTATTAGTTTTTAATCCAAAATGTCTGTGCTGTCCATTTTATTTGAGTTTTCAGTTATCCAAGATAATGTTGGTCCATATTACCTTGAATAATCGGGGTTCTACTGTACATATTTTCATTCATATATAATATTTCAACATATTCAACATATTTCAAATATTTCAACATATTTTCAATCATTCTTTTGTGGGTTTTGGCAAGGCCACAATGAAGCAACCGGGTAGTGAGAATGGAACCAAACATATCTGAGATAAACTAACAAAAAATTCCAGGGGTGTTGCTTGCCTGGATTGATCCCAGGTCTCCCTACCAGTAGGCCAATGCTTTAATTGTATTGGCTGTCCAATTGTAAGGAGTTGAAGTCTGATCGCTATTTTAGGTTTTGGGCATTATTTTTAGTTATAGTTATTTTCTTTTTGGGGTCTTATTTTTCAGGACAGAAACTCCTAAACCCTCAATGTGCTAAATTTAAAAAAAAAGGCAAAAGATAGTAATTTGCACCAGTGACTGATCCCATGATGCAAACAAATTTAACTAGGGCAGTGCAGAGCTACATGGAGAACCAGATAAAAGACGATACATCCATCAGTAGTGTGGAGTAGCTCCCGAAGCAACCATCATAGAAACATCTCTGGTGTTCTTAATAAGTGATCAGCATAGGAAATGTATACTTTGAGTATTTTTCTTGGTGGAATTTGAATTGATTTTTGACTTTATATACAATCAAATTAATTCAGATCAAATAATCAAAGAATTTCTTTGTTTATTTTTTGTTGACTTTGTGAATAATTGAAATATATACTCTACCTCTTGTTATAATTAATTGTTGTTGTTGTTTATATACTACTGATCAATTTAATAAATATTTATTGTGAATTTGTACTCATAAGTGTTGTTTTGGATTATCATATTTTTTTGGTTCCCATAAAGTCCAGGCCTGGTACTTAAATCAAATCCTAATTTGTGTAACCTTGCCTTTTTGCATGGCATTTACAGCTTTCTTAAAAATGGCAAATGCCTCTCTTCTTGATCTTACTTTTGTTAAAATAGGTTCTTTAGCAAAAGCCAATGGCATAACATAAAGATGTTTCTGAACAATGTTTGCCAATTGTTAAAAGAGGGATTAATCAATGTTACATGATCATCAAGGGCAAGGTTTGAGTACATGTCTATGATGGTTCTGGGAAAAATCATAATGGCATAAGAATACAGTAGCGCATAGATTATCCAAAACAATTCGGAACTGGGATTGTTCGGATAAGTGATTTTTCGGATAACTGATCATTTACGAAAAATATATTAAACACAAAACTGTACTGTATCTATTTTGCATCATATGTCTTACAAATACATATCTTATACAAAGTAGTACACTAAATGCCTACAGTTTAGGTTGGCAGGGAGGTAAAAAGTGCTGCAGCACCACAGCACTAGCAAAAATTTGAATTTGCTGACTGGAACACTTTCAGTTAACCAATGTTTCAGTTGATTGGTATTCGGATAATCGATGCTCTACCGTATATCTTCGGTGTGTGACAGATTTTCCATGCCTTCTGAAAACATTCTTTTTGACTTTACACCAAGGAAAATCTGTTTGATGAGTTTGTAATTCCAATTTAAAATTTAAAAATAGCCTGCCCCATCACATAACCCACAACCATTTTCAAACATACATAACTGCAAATTATTCTCAAATAATTACAGTACTAAATAATTTAGAATCAGTATGGGTATTCAAAGTACAGTCTTTCTAACTAAAATGGCATTTACAGCTTTCTTAAAAATGGCAAATGCTTCTCTTCTTGATCTTGCTTTTGTTAGAACAGGTTCTTTAGCAAAAGCCAATGGCATAACATAAAGATGCTTTTGAACAATGTTTACCAATTGTTAAAATCTTAACAGAGGGATTAGTCAATGTAACTTACAAAAAATGGCACAAAATAATTCACTAACAAGACAAAATGTAAATTAATAAAAACAAAATGAGAACTGTCAGTGCAGCAGTTATTTATTAACCTTACTGCTATATTAAATTGTAGTAAAGATAAGTAGAATTCACTGTTTTCTGTCATGTCATTCAGTTGCCATCATTTCCATTTTTCTCACTAGATGGCATTATTAACCTTTCTGAATTCATTCAGTCATTTGTATTTTCACTATTCATGACTTTTGTACAATTCAGCTCTTCAAAAAATGGAAAAAGATTCCACTACGAATATCCCTAAAAATTGCTAGTCTAACTTAAAATTTGAATTAAATCCAAATATAACATAATGCATCAGAAATAATTAATTTTAATAAAATAATGATCTTATTTGTCAGTTTATGTAAAGCCTAACCTTGTTTATGTTTATTTTTGGAAGTTTATTACTAGTGTCATGGCTGCATTAACATACAAGCATACCAGACCATAGACAGCCTCATCTCATTACTGAAATGAATATTTTTGTTCTATATCTTTATAATGCATCAAAAGAAACTGGGTCGAGGATGCTCAAAGTGCTTAAAATTATCCTAACTACTATACCATGAAAAAATGTCATAAATTCAAGGCTTTAAATCTATGATCATGCATAGAAATTATAAAAAAATACTTACTAAAAAGCCTATAGATACACTATATATGTTTGCTTGTAAGTGCTAGTGCATTTAGCCTGTAACAATTAAAAACAATGGAAATCAAATTAAGTATTTTCATACTGCTTCTCTACTATCTGTTCAACTCACAAATTTCTATTAGTGATTAAATATATTTATTTATAATGAAAGCACTTATATAGCCTTACTGTAAGCAAAGTTTGGCATAAACTTTGACATTTGTTTAAATCAATTATATTTTGGCTATACAACAAAGTATAACTCAGAAAAGTTATTATGGAAATATCTAAATGTCTTAGATCTGACATTTTACTGAAGACCTAAAGATAACAATTATAGGGGCACAAACGCTCAGAGATTAAAGTGAAAAAAATTTAATAAACACAAAAGGTTACTACATAAATATGAAAACCCAAACTTATGTAGTAACCTTATCCATACTTATAACCCAAAAAACCCATACTTATGTAGTAACCTTTTGTGTTTATTAAATTTTTTTCATTTTAATCTCTGAGCGTTTGTGTCCATCATTTGGTCTGATAAGCCCTCACTATTATCTGCCTCACGGTTGTGGATATTTTAATTTAATTGATAACAATTATACTTTTCTTTTGGCATTATTAATGTATATAATGAAAAAAGTTGTACTACATGTTGCTTACTGTATTTTATGGCATATATGATGCATCCCTATTACAGCACAGAATATTTACCAAAAAGCATTTAGCATGTTTAATCCATCCTGTGCCTTTGACACTTAGCACCACCAAAAAAATTTTTTTATTATATTTGGGTTAAAAAACAATAGTAAAATTAGGATGCACACCTTTATCTATCATGGAAAAAAAGAAATTTAAAAGAAGGCTTATTAAATGTTTACTGGAAGTAATTTAAGGTACCTCTGTTGTGGTTTTTATTTTATTGTTGTAATTTCCAGTTTCTACAAGAGCTTGAACTATATTAAAAGAAGTCATTTACAATTAAAATACCCAATAACCACAAATACTGGTACATGCAATTTGAAGAATTCATTAGCTTATTCACAAATTCACATAAGAGTTAGAGAAATATTTTGATCCTTCTTTTTGGACAAAGTTACATTTTATATTCCATAAAATATAATACATTAATCAATACATGACACATTTATATCATATCTGTGCTCTATACGTTTGATTCATTGCCTAAAGCTACATTTCAAAGACAATAAGTTTACAGCTCCTTCAAGCTGTATACAGAAGCAGAGATTTGGCATAACTAGCATAACATTAATCCCAAAATACCAGTGGAACTCAGAGACAGACTGTGGCAAAAGAAAACCTGTATCTCACCTGTCAAGTTATAAAAATTATAGTCGACCCCCCTATAACGCAGGTTTATATAATGCGGATTCGTATATTGCAGCGAATAAATTGCAACCGATTCGTATAAAGATGCTAAAAGAGACTTGTAAAATGCGGTAAAACGTCATCGCCAACTCGTGTTGTGACAAGATTGGTCGAATCTGGACCAATAGTGGACGAGCAGCTGAACTACTTACACGCTATGGAGAGTTTAGGCGGGTAAGTTGAGTTTACTAACGTCTGTACAGTATATAAATTAGGTACTGTAAGTCTAATACAGTACTGTAATTTTATACATTTCTTATGAAAAAAACATTTCTTATTCAACAGCCATAAAAATTATTTCTATTAATGATGTCTCCAAAGTTCAGCAAATTTTTCGCAGAAAAATAACTTATCAGAAAACACGCCTGCCGTTCGATGCGCTGCTCCACGATGAAAACAAGCTTAACCCTGCGTTAGTGCACTGAGTTTTTTTTCGGCATTAGTGCAGTGGGGCGTTTGTCCACCCTGACATTTTTTTGGGTCCATAAACCATGTAAGTAAAAATTCATAAAGATTTACTCATTCATTTGGTAAAGGCATGTGTTATTATGCATATGATTATATTCAAGTATGATTACATATTATATTAGTACATAAATCCATGAAAATAAAAAACAACATTTATCAAAACTCATTACATTAGATCTTATTATTAAACCAATAGTCAAAATCTAAATTGTTTTTTAAGCATTTTTGTCACTCTGATTCAATAGCTGACATTGTACTTTGGCACTCATTGCAAATGACAAGCAACTTGCTATGTTTGGTATTTTCTCAATGTGTTTATGAAAGTCAGCCATTTTGAATTAAAATAAACTTAAATTATTTTTATTCACATTGATTATTATATCTATATTATAAATAATAAATGTGGTCACATTATAGTTATTTGAAAAATTAAAAAAACTAAATAAATATTTGTAAAATTTAAAAAAAATGTAATTAATACTGTCGGGTGTTTGGACACCCCATTGAGAACTGTTGTTTTTCTCTTACTGGAATTTTTGCAGCATCGTAGTAATTTCTGAGCATGCTCTATACATAAAATCATGAAGCTACTGAAGAGGACACAAATATTTCTTGCGAAATCTATGAATAGTGCAACTTTTAAAACGTTGGGGGTGGCAAAACACCCCACTGCACTACCCCAGGGTTAAGCAATGGCGACGTCGAACAGTGCACACTCGGTAAGTAATCCTACAATTTTTTGTTTATAGCATAGTTTATACGGATTATTCCCAAAAAATAATACGTGTTTTGGAAATGTTGAGTAGAAAACCTTTCAAACAGCTGTAGTCCATAAACTGCATACGTGCCGGGCTGTGATTGGCTCATGTATTTAAGGATTCCTACAATGTGAAATTCTTATAAAGTAGAACGTATTTACGGCATTATAGGGGGTCAACTGTACACAACCAAATATCATATCAATCTAATATAATCAAATATAATCTGATCCATACTGGCAATTTAAACTAGTAATTATAAATAAGAAACTGCTGAATAAAAGAAACATTAACCCTAATATTTTTATTGATTATGGACTATATACATTATCATCATAAAATTTTTCAGTTAATACAGTATAATCTATGAACATGTCTAACTTTGTACTGCATTCACAATGATAAACTTATCCCATAAATGATGTCATATTCAGACTCTTGTCATATTGGTCAGTTGTTTTACAGTTATTTAATTTTCATATACCAAAATTTCATTTCAAGTAATTATATAGATCTAATTAAAAAAATTACCTTTCTCTGATTGTTTAGACGGTTTTGCAGATTTCTCTTCAGTTGGCGAAGGCTTTTTATTCTTTGGAAAATATTTTTCAAAACCTTTTGGTGGTTTCTCGCAATAGTTCCTCCACTGAGTAAGCAATGCCGAAATTGAAATATTTCCATGGTTATTATGAAGATGTTTGATGTTTTGTTGAACCTAGAAACATTAACAACATTATAAATAACAACTATAACAAGAATTAGTTATAACTAGGGCTAGAACTTCTAGGCTCTGAAAGTCTATAAATAACTTTTTATCAATTGTAATAATTTCTTATGAATCATACATCTTTTCTTAAAGATTTAAAACTGTTAGCATTAAAGTAATACCACACATTCTATATTTGCCAATCGCAGACTAATTGCCTATTTGCCCCCTTTAATTTTGCACAATATACCAGCAAGCAGTGGAAAATGGTGAAAAGTAAATATTATTCACAATTAAATCATCCACACTAGCTAGTATTGGCCAAATGTTTTCTTGGCAATCAGTGAATACTAAATGTATGGAGCCACATTTACATACATTTACATATTCTTGTGACTTTACCAAGTAGATTACATGTTTTAGCTAAACATTCTCATAAGACTATGACAAAGTTACAAATTTTTATAAGTAAACATATAAAATTGTATAAAAATTTTTAAAAAATAATACAAGAAAAACTACAATTATATCTGATATTTTCCAATTATTTCTGACAACTCTCATGAGACTCAATCGTGAAATACAGATATCCTAGTGTAACTCTAAACACATTATACATTAACAATAAAAACAATTAAAGTTAAATATTTTTCATAAAAATTAATTTACCCGTTATTTCCTCTGAAGACACTCATGTACAATGTAATTTAATCTTTAAGAAAATATATTACTTATAATAAGTTCTTGTGAATCATACAAAGTGATGATAAAAAGTTATTTACATTATAGACATCTTCTAAAAGTTATATATAAATAGTTATAAAAACATCCAGATAGTCAAGCAGTTAAGGTGGCAGCCTATTTCTGGGGATCCAAGATTGAAACTGGATAGGTCAAAACTCAAATTTTTTTCAGAGGTTGCCTGTCTGGACACGGCCAGCCCATCCCTCATCACAGGCTATGCACCTGGCCAAAACTATAATGGGCTCACTAAAAAGACTCTCTTAATGTCCATAGAGCAGAGAGTTAAAAAAGACAAAATCATAAGTTACAATTTTTATAATTATATAATTTTTAGTGTGTAGATGTTCTAACTCTACTCCTAATCTAATTCTTTAGTATGTTTAAGTTATGTTATTGTTAAGTTATGGCAATGCAACACTTGGGCGATCTGCTTAGGGGATGCCACAACTGAATGCCCAGTGTTCAATGAACAAAACCACTTGGCCACTGGTGGTGGGCCTAGTATGTTTAAAATAAATTAAACTTCACTCTGACACCGGGGATGAAATACTAAATATGGAACCTGTTACCTGTGTAATTTTGCGTGAAAAAATCTTCCTTTCACAAATGTTTTTGAGCTGCCCAGATAGCTCTTCCTCAGGTATAGAAAAAATTAGACAAAGGCCAATACTGACCAGGATGAACGTACACGCCTCCCAGTCACCTTTAACCCATATGTTAAAGCGATATACGCTGAGATCACCGGAAAACAACAATTACAAATAGCCTATAGAAGATGCCCAACAATCTATGACATCCTAAGAAATGGAAAAGGCAGTCCAGTTCGTAGCAGGCTTCCTAGTGTGTACTCTATCCCGCTGAAAGATAACAGATGTAACGAGAGCCTTGTCTATATCGGCTCAACCAAGCGATCTTAAACACCAGAATACAAGAGCATCAAGCAGACCTTCGGCATGGGCAGTACACCATAGCCCTAACCACCTTTGCATCCGATCTCGATATAGAACCGGAGTTCGACAAAGCTGATATCATCGACACTATGCCCCACCTGGAACATCTAAAATGGCGAGAAGCTATATCCATCTGCAAGGCTAACCACCTGACCACATGTATAAATCGGAAAGATGAGATTAATCTTTCTATAGCGTGGCAGGCACTCATAAACAACGATCTATAAATATCAACATCAGCGCACGAATGCGCATGACCGTCCTAATGATCGTTCGTTATACGAGTTTCATATTTTTTGTTTAAACATCAGCGTTCTATTTTTAGATTAGTTTTTTATTTAAATATCTACGTTCCATTTTTCGAAGTGTTCCGTCGGAATTTTTTCTATACCTGAGGAAGAGCTATCTGGACAGCTCAAAAACGTTTGTGAAAGGAAGATTTTTTCACGCAAAATTACACCGATAACAGGTTCCGTATTTAGTATGTTTAAAATGCAAACACAAATTAAAATGTAAGTAGTATAGATTTTTTTTTTAATTTTATAGAAAATATTTAACTTGGTTTGGTATAATTATTAATATATCTGGTGAATAGAAATCACTGAACAAACACAAGAAGAAGTGATGTAAAATAACGAATACCGATTGGTCTTCCTTTGTCTTCAGGCAACAATTCGAAACTTTTCGGTGTGTGGGAGATGTCGACATTGACATTCAACCCAGTATATACTGATCGGATAGTATTCCCCCAAACTTTGAAACTCTCCCTTGTAATTCCAGCCTTTTATATTTCTGATAGAAATAATTCTTTTATGTTTTCTTCTGAAAAAGCAGATTTATGCTGATATCTGCTATTAAAGATCTTTTGAAGAAGTGGGAGGATGTCAGAACAACGGTCTTAAAATGGCATCCAAACCAGGTTGAGGTTAATAGGCCTAGGGATCTCTACAATTACAATGCGGTTAATTACTTCTGAAAATTCACAAAGAAGACAGAAAAGCAATCGACATTGGAGAGATTCTTTAACCCCCATAAGTGGAAAAACCATGACAAATAAAAATGCAAGACCGTGTATATATGTATTTTTATTATTACATATGAATAAACGTAGTAAGAAAGTATATATTTTTTAATTTTTGGGAGTCTCCAAAACGAATTAATCAAATTCCCATAGAAACCTATGGTAAATCGATAATCAGTTAACAAACAATTCGGATAGCAAACAAACTCTTGGAACAAATTATGTTTGTTAACCGATCACCCACTGTATATGTATTTTCACTATTACATATAAATAAATGTAGTAAAAAAGTATATATTTTTTATTTTTTGGAGTCTCTGGAATGAATTAAATTAATCAAATTCCCATAAAAACCTATGGTAAATCGATAACCAGGTAATGAACAATTTGGATAACGAACAAAGTCTTGGAACAGATTATGTTCATTAACCGATCACCCACTGTATTTAGTAATTAATTAAATATAATTGCAGAAAAGTAGCCAATGTAATCCAGTGATTGTTTGGCTTTACAAATTTATCAGATTTTGTGATGTTTGTTTATGTATAGTAAATATTATGAAATGATCTCTAGAATGTTTTGTTATTGTCTTTAATTAATTTAATGTTTATACAGTACTTATAAGTTAGTGCATCTTCTGTATATAATAAAGATGAAAAGATAAAAGATATATATGATTAATTATATATGTCAACTGAATACATAATTGCACAGCACACCAGGATGAATATAAAATATGTCTCACATCACCCATTAACTGACATGAATATGATTAGCACTTGAGCAACAAATGTTTTCTTTTTGTAACCCCTTCTTGGCTCTTCTTCAGGTTTTCTTATAATTCAAAATGAGCTGGATCTTAAAATTTGAACAAAGTGCTAATCGTGTTCACACCAGTTAATGGTTGATGTGAGTCATCTATACCAGTGTTCCGCAACCTTTTTCTACTCGCGGCACACCTATGACTCGAAATGGCTCAACACGGCACACCAAAATGTTATTCCCCTCAAAAACGTATGATATGATACTATTAGTGGAATTTCGTAATGCCATAAACCTATTATTAATATTATTTTGTGAGTTATACTCGGTTGACACCGATGGCTGTGTACTATGCCGAACCAGAGTCAAGCATAGTAACCAAAACAAGACAAAAATTAAATAAGTGTATCAGTGTGTGTCTGTATTCAGGAATTTCCTAATAATATGACATGCATTCGAAATACTTGCCTTCTGTAGTGTGATGTGTGTTTCTATTCAATGTTAATGTTCCCAGGCTTTTGTGTAGCGTGTCTGGTATGACACCTTTAGAGGAGAGAACGACAAGTACAATAAGCACTCTATCCATCCTCCATAGATGCTTTAGTTCCTGGGCGAGTTCTGTGTACTTGCTGACTTTTTCACTGCATATGTTTTATACAGTGTTTGGAACAGATATGTCTATAATGTATATGATTTTATTGTGTTTGTCAATGAGTGTGATGTCTTGTCTGTTGTGATAAATTGTNATCCAATAAGCATTAAAATATATTATACTGATGAACAACACACAGTTTGTAGGAGACCCTAGTATGCATCCCTTAGGCTTTGGCAACATAATTTTATTTTCCTTTTTACTGTCTCATGGCATTGTGCAACCCTAATCTAGCTGATACTCATAAACCAACAATATTCAAACTAAACTCACTCAGTGAAAAGATGTGAATAAACTATGTTATTAGTTTGCATATAATTAGCATATATTTTAATACTTAGTGTTACTGATGATTATGAACTGTGTTGATACTCAGCAGCCTAAAAACCTGCAACATTTGTACGAAAAAATGCATGTGGCTCACATCTAAAAAAGGTTGCTTATTACTGATAAATATTGAAGGTACATTGAATTAGAATTAGTACAGCATTGGAGCTGACAACCCTGCCATCTTTGACCTAATGTACCAAGTCAACTGTCATACAGGCAATAGATAAACAAAAAGACCACAGTAATTTTTAGTGCAGCCAGACTATAGGAGCTAAATGTATGGACCACTCCATTTCAGAGATTGTGTAGACTCTGGTCTTCCCACATGCAACAGTGTCTCAAGTATACTGCACAGAAAGATACCCATTGCAAGACAAAACTGTCTTGGCCCAACAACCAGTATAGTTGCAGGCTTGTGTGCATTATAACTATCCATGTGACAGGAACAACATGACAAATCACAACCTATCTCAATACTTAACACAAAGACAAGTGTGCCAACAAATTAGTGCAATGATTAACTCATTGCAATGAGCTATAGGAGCCATTTACCCACAAGAGAGTCACTTCCAACTATGACCCACAAGGCACAATGCTTTGCCTGGGTAACAGTATACCAAAATTGGACTGTCAAAGACTGGAAATGAGTTGCCTGATTCAAAATTTGTGGTTAAAGTTAATGGAAGACTTATAGTCCAACCCAAACACCACAAAACTATAAAATCATTGTGGGTAGTTCAGTCAGCTGGTGTGGAAGTGTCAGTCTGGAGATGTTTTCAAGGTATAATACAGGACCCCTGCTCCAACTGACAACATTCCTCAATGGTGAGTGATACAGGTTAATATGCACCACTTTATGAACATTGTGTATACAGGCAACACAGAGTACTTTCAGCAGAACAATGCACCACCAAGTCATTTCCAGTTACCTCAACACGGCGAGAACACCAGAGAGCCATCTGTGAGGCCAAGAACACGTCTTGCAATCTGAACTCCACCAAACACATTTGGGACGAAGCGTAACATATTCAAGCTTGCAACTCCGCAACATCTTCCATAGGAATTTAGGCCTGTAGGACACTCAAAGACCGCTGCAAAACATCAATTCACAACACTACTGGCAGGTGGCGGAGTCGATGCCAAGGAATGCAACTGCCTGCAATCCACACAAGAGGTCCAACACAATATTAGACGAAAATCCTAATTCAATGTTCCTTCAGTGTATTATATACAGTATTCACAATTCAATATTAATGCCAACTCATCTATGATTCAACAAAATCATTTCAACAAAACTATTTTCGTCTTCTTCAGGTTAAAAAAACAGTTAATATCCTTCAAATTCAAATTACAGCAACGGCAAACCAGCATTGGAATAAAATCGAAATAGAACTAAAACAGAGAATTTAAAACATGCGCGCTTGGTGCTGACGCACATGAGCAATAGATTATGTTGGTTATTAACGCCTAGACGATAATTTTCTCAACTTGCTTATCTAATATCCGGCGTGAAGTCCAATAATAATTTTTCAAAGTTCACTCAACTTGAGCAGCAGTAATTCTTTCTGTGGCAATCCAATAAGCATTAAAATATATTATACTGATGAACAACACACAGTTTGTAGGAGACCCTAGTATGCATCCCTTAGGCTTTGGCAACATAATTTTATTTTCCTTTTTACTGTCTCATGGCATTGTGCAACCCTAATCTAGCTGATACTCATAAACAACAATATTCAAACTAAACTCACTCAGTGAAAAGATGTGAATAAACTATGTTATTAGTTTGCATATAATTAGCATATATTTTAATACTTAGTGTTACTGATGATTATGAACTGTGTTGATACTCAGCAGCCTAAAAACCTGCAACATTTGTACGAAAAAATGCATGTGGCTCACATCTAAAAAAGGTTGCTTATTACTGATAAATATTGAAGGTACATTGAATTAGAATTAGTACAGCATTGGAGCTGACAACCCTGCCATCTTTGACCTAATGTACCAAGTCAACTGTCATACAGGCAATAGATAAACAAAAAGACCACAGTAATTTTTAGTGCAGCCAGACTATAGGAGCTAAATGTATGGACCACTCCATTTCAGAGATTGTGTAGACTCTGGTCTTCCCACATGCAACAGTGTCTCAAGTATACTGCGCAGAAAGATACCCATTGTAAGACAAAACTGTCTTGGCCCAACAACCAGTATAGTTGCAGGCTTGTGTGCATTATAACTATCCATGTGACAGGAACAACATGACAAATCACAACCTATCTCAATACTTAACACAAAGACAAGAGTGCCAACAAATTAGTGCAATGATTAACTCATTGCAATGAGCTATAGGAGCCATTTACCCACAAGAGAGTCACTTCCAACTATGACCCATTAGGCACAATGCTTTGCCTGGGTAACAGTATACCAAAATTGAACTGTCAAAGACTGGAAATGAGTTGCCTGATTCAAAATTTGTGGTTAAAGTTAATGGAAGACTTATAGTCCAACCCAAACACCACAAAACTATAAAATCATTGTGGGTAGTTCAGTCAGCTGGTGGGGAAGTGTCAGTCTGGAGATGTTTTCAAGGTATAATACAGGACCCCTGCTCCAACTGACAACATTCCTCAATGGTGAGTGATACAGGTTAATATGCACCACTTTATAAACATTGTGTATACAGGCAACACAGAGTACTTTCAGCAGAACAATGCACCACCAAGTCATTTCCAGTTACCTCAACACGGCGAGAACACCAGAGAGCCATCTGTGAGGCCAAGAACACGTCTTGCAATCTGAACTCCACCAAACACATTTGGGACGAAGTGTAACATATTCAAGCTTGCAACTCCGCAACATCTTCCATAGGAATTTAGGCCTGTAGGACACTCAAAGACCGCTGCAAAACATCAATTCACAACACTACTGGCAGGTGGCGGAGTCGATGCCAAGGAATGCAACTGCCTGCAATCCACACAAGAGGTCCAACACAATATTAGACGAAAATCCTAATTCAATGTTCCTTCAGTGTATTATATACAGTATTCACAATTCAATATTAATGCCAACTCATCTATGATTCAACAAAATCAAAATGAACTAATTAAAAGAAAGCATCATCAATAAAAGTAGTTGTTTATGCTTATTTTAAGTATGAAATAAGTATAAACAACTCGAATTGTAAGTAAATAGATACCTTTTCCTTATCTTCCAACGATATATAATTTAATTTAGAACATTTTATTTAATCAAACATTAAAATTTCGTATGTTTAATGTAAATGCAAACAGTGAAGTGGTGCATTTACTTCATTTTTATGAAGATAACGAATTTATAAAAGTAATTACCTGAAAATTAATAGAAATTTAATAAAAATATTAAACAATAATTTATTATATCGAAAGACTCCAAAACGAACTGGATCTATGGAAATTGAAGACTTTTCTCGGATCCACGACACGAAATTGATCATTTATGCTAAATCGCGGAAATATTTACCTGAGAATACTTAAAATTTGATTGAAGAAGAACTTTAAATAAAGTTCTTTCGAGTTTTCTAGTATTTATGACGAATCTGTAAGCCATAACTTTCGTTAACGTTCGACAGGCTTATCCTATAATGATGTAAGAAAAGCACATTTCGAGTAATCAATCTCAAGTTACCAACTTTAATTTCGTAATTATTTTTCATAAACTATATAAATTAAACTTAACTTATCGCATATTTATTTTTTATTATTCGAAAATTAATTTTAAATATTAAAAACGTTCAAAATTTTCATATTTTAATAATAAGAAAGTTAAATGCGTTGCATCGATGGTGAGATAAACGACGTTCAAACTGTTTGTTTGATTGGCTGATATAGAGACCGCAACCAATCCTAACTTCGCATTCTATATAAACTTANCTTATCGCATATTTATTTTTTATTATTCGAAAATTAATTTTAAATATTAAAAACATTCAAAATTTTCATATTTTAATAATAAGAAAGTTAAATACGTTGCATCGATGGTGAGATAAACGAGGTTCAAACTGTTTGTTTGATTGGCTGATATAGAGACCGCAACCAATCCTAACTTCGCATTCTATATAAACTTAAAAGATCATCTTGATATTGCGTTTTAATATAATTTTCCACTGTAAACCTAATATAACCCTGTAATGATTAGATTAATTAATATTAATCAAATATATTATAAGAACAAAATTTAACAAATTTTGTTAGTTTTTTTCCTCTATTGGGAGTGTCTCCACAGTCGTCGACTCAACTAGAGACCTCCCGGAAGGCATTATTTCCGCGCGTACTAGTCAATTACTAATACTATCCACTGAATTTTCACTTTCTACAGGCCGAATTAGCCGGTGTAGCTGATGCCCAACTTGTTATAACCAATAACCAATAGAGGTATGCTCCGGCCAAAAGTTCGGCGGTAGCGTTACGTAGCAGAAATAATTCATAGATTTTCTTATATATATAGCACTTTTAGCTCTGTGGGCGTTAAGACGGCTTTTATCAGCAAGCCAGACCAACATTGGGGCGTCGGATGATGAGGAACCGAACCCGACATAACTGGATGGATCATTGTGGCCGGATGGCCGAGCGGTCAAGGTGGCAGCCTTCCGCTCTGGGGGACCCGGGCTCGAATCCGAACGGGTCGAAAAATCCCCAGGAATTTTTCGGGGGTGGTCCGCTCGGATATGTCGGGCCCGTCCCTCACCACCCGGCAGCCCCATTGTGGGCCTGGCCGAACCCATAATGGGCTTGAAAAAAGAGGCCCTCTTAGTGCCCACAGGGCGGAAAGAGTTTTAAAAAAAAACCGGATGGATCACGCCCCGATAAAATTCCCGGGATTTTTCGACTCGTCCGGATTCGATCCCGGATCCCCAACTTAACCGTACTAAATTTTTGTTAGAAAACCTGGCTGCTTTCATTGTGAACATGGCAGAAACACATGATGGATATAAAAACAAAGATTCTCTAAAGAGACGATAGAAATTCATTTTTCATAATTTTTTAATGTTTTTTAAAAAAAAGTAAAGATAAAAGTATGTATAACTTTGTTATACAAGTATTAAATAATAAGCAATACTTTTATCATTTAAAAAATACATTTCTTCAGTACTTGTAAGAAATTGCTTGTTATAAATACTACATACTGTACAAGAATTAAATCAAGTATGCGGCAGGGGGCGCGCACACTAATTTAAATTTAAATAGCCGCGTTTTTATATTAATCCGCCAGGCGGCTACCGAAAATTAAACTTTCTGAACGGATGCGAACTCGTTTATTTCAAGATGGAGAAGCGTCACGAAGCAGAAGTTTTATTTAGTGAAATTTACGAAAAAGCGAAAAAACTCGGCTTGAATCACGAACAAGTGGAAAATTTACCTTCGGTGAAGATGTTAATAGGCGACGAGGGTCGGACGTTTATCGCTCGTCTGTGTGTCTGTCTGTTGACCTGTTTAATGGCGATGACGATTCATTATGAGTTGTACACTCGAGAAGGACTTAGTCGCGTCTGGTTCTATTGGGAAAACATCGAAATCCATGAAGAAATGTGCACCGTGGACATGCCCCCGTTCATTCAGAACGTTTTCATGCCTCCGGTCGATTGTTCTCATTGCGAAAATTTGACTCACGTTCCTAGAATTTCCGACGTTTCGCCGATCTTATTCGAAAAGATGTATGAATATTGCGCATTTCGATATTCATTAGTTACGATGCGGCGGGCTACTGTTTTAGAACCGTGTTTTTGGCATATACGGGGAGGACCAAAAGTCAGTTAACCGCAGTAAAGACTAAATTGCCGTTATTATTCGCGGGGCTTTAACGAATTCTGTTTACGAGTCGACTTATCCGGATGTGCAAAACGTAATCAACTGACTTTTGGGTCGCCCCACATATAAAGGAAAGGTCCTTCGAGAGGTTACAAAATATTATCATCGATCGAATTTCGGAATAATTCTTCCGGAAATGTTTATACGTAAGCATTTCCGTAAGCCGTGTTTGTTCTTTTGTATTGTTTTAACAGCTTGCCTCTCCAAATACCGATTTTAAATGGTGCAACATTAAAGTTTCCTTTGTCGTGTTAGGTATGCCTACTCGGGAACACCCGTCATCGTTACGGACGCGACAGAAAATTGGACGGCCATGGAGGTGTTTAGTTACGATTTCTTTAAGGACGTCTACAAGAAAGACAGCCCCGCTCTGAGCAATTTTAAGGTCGATTGCCAGTTCTTTCCCTACAACACGCAATTTAAAAACCTGAGCCAGGTTTTCCACATGCCTTACGAAAAAGCCGTTCTATTCGAGGGTCGAGAGCCGTGGTACGTCGGCTGGTAAGTAAGTGGCGCGCGAAATTTGCTTAGAAAATGGCGATTTCATCGTACACTTGTAGGGGCAACTGCGATCCGAACGTGGCCAATTTGTTAAGAAAACACTACACTAGACCGTATTTTATACCTGAACATTCGGAAACGTCCAAAATGGATTGGATTTTTATGGGCACTCCGGGTTATGGTGCTAATCTTCACGTGAGCGATCGTAAAATTTCAGGTAAATTGATTTTGATCAAAGCCTATTGTTAAATGCCGTTTATTATCTGTGACAGATCGACAAAGTGAATTATCCTTCGTGGCAAGCTCAGATCAGAGGAAGGAAAAGATGGACGTTGGAGCCGATTCCCGAATGCTATTCTTCGTGCAAGACGTTAGAAGCGGTGGTGGAAACAGGCGATATCAGTAAGAAATTGCAAATTTATAATCAAAAACCAACAAAAGAAAGCAATTGAAATCGTTTAATTGGAATTTTCAGTTGCCGTGGACACTAATTTGTGGTATCACAAAACGTTGGTCATCGACGACGAAATGAGCATCGCCATTGGCTCCGAATTCGATTAAGCGGCGAGTGAAACTTCGAAAGCCTGGAATAAATTTTAATTCACTGAAGTGAAAACTGTTTGTTGATGAATTCGGCGAGGAAACAATAAAAAAAAGAGCATTAACTTTGAAAAATCTTCAGTTTTTCTCTTGATTTTGAGCTCGTTTTTCGAAGTTTTGCACGGAAAGTTCAATTTTCGGTAGCCGCCTGGAGGATTAATATAGAAACACGGTGTTATTTACAGTTGACCCCCCTATAACGCGGTAGATACGTTCCTCTTTTTAAGAAATTCATGTTCTACGAATCCTTAAATACATGAGCCAATCACAGCCCGGCACGTGACTACGGCTGTTTGAAAGGTTTTCTTCCATAAAATTAATCGATTCTAGACTAATTTGACTCAACATTTCCAAAATACGTATAATTTTTTGGGAATAATCCGTATAAACTATGCTATAAACAAAAAATTGTAGGATTACTTACCGAGTGTGCACCGTTCGACGACGCCATTGCTTAAGCTTGTTTTCGTCGTGGAGCGGCGCATCGAACGGCAGGTACAGTACGTGTTTCCTGATAAATTATTTTTCTGCGAAAAATTTGCTGAACTTTGGAGACATCATTAATGTAAATACAGTAGAGCGTCGTTTACTCGAATCAATTGGGGACTGGGGTTGTTCGGATAATTTATTTTTCGGATAACTGATTATGTACGAAAAATATATTAACCTATCCCGTGTTGAAATTTTTCTCCGTTGCGTGTCGCTTCGCGTTGAATTTTCGTCGATGTTAAGCCTAACGTAAACTTTTTAAAATAATAATCGTGGCTATTGTATCGTTAAAAATGATTTCTTTATGTTTTACAAACGAAATAAATACATTGAAAAATATAAAAACAAATAAAAATTATACTTTAGGCCGACTGGAATTCTTTCGGATAACCGACTTTCGGATAAACGACGCTCTACTGTATT